ATTACTCATACAGTTGTGTGAAAAATAAGAGGGATTCCGAGAGTGAGGAACAAGACCCACCAGAAGGGGGTGCTCTGATGTCTACCGGAGGAGACAAGAGAGAGACTGAGTGTGCATGGTCAGGGGATTATTTATATACCCCTCCTTCCTTACCACTTTTTTTTTTTTTTTTCCTGAGGAAGATTCACCCTGCACTAACATCCATGCCAATCTTCCTCTATTTTTTAGTATATGGGCCACCAGCATAGCATGACCGCTAACAGAGCAGTGTAGGTCTGCACCTGGGAACCAAACCCTGGCCACGGAAGTGGAGCATGCTGAACTTAACCACTAGGCCACTGGAGCTGGCCCTACCCACAACATATTTAAATAATGCCAGGGCAGACTAAGTTCTGGCAGTGGCAGAGAGGGACGAGAGAGGCAGAATAAGTTGCCCCGCATGTGATTTGTAGGAGTGCAACAGAAGTGAGTGCAAAGCTTTTTCTAATCTATTGGTTTTCACCTTGGAGGAGCAGCTAGGGTGGCTGCCAGTTTCCAGCCTGATAGGTGTCGAATGGTTTAACCAAATGTCGTTGTGCCAGGGTGATTTAATTCCATCTCTCTACAACAAGCAAGAAGCTCACCATCTAAAGTGGAAGATAGATGTGCTAGCAAATGAAACTACATAATGTGATATATACAAAAATAGACATACATAAGTTTCAAAAAAACACAAGAGAGCATCCTGTCTGAAGCATCACAGGAAGGCGATGCTCTATCAGAGTTGTGATGGAAACTGGGCATTTGCCAGACAGACAAGGGCGGGAAAGTTCCAAGCAGAGGTGCTAGACTGTGTGAACAAAGGGAAGCATGAAATGGTATGCAATCGATGAGAAGTAACAAACAGCCTGGTACTGCTGGAGCACAGATGAAAGAGGAGAGCGGCTGGTGATGGCCCTGAGAAGGAGGCAAGGGTCAGGATGTGGAGGGTCTTATAGCTATTCTAAAGTGCTTGGACTTCATCCAGTAAGTAATACAGACTTCTTGAAAGGTTCTAAGTGTAGAAGGGACATAGTCTTATTTTCCTTTAAGAAGAATGACTCTGACAGTATGGTTGGGGAATGGCTGAAGACATAGATTAGGGGCAAGTTGGCTGGGAAGCTTCCAGGAGCATCTGTCTACAAGGAGCACTAAAATACCAATAAGCATGTAAGGAAATCGAGAAAATAATATTTACCAGAACTAACATATGTGGGTGGAAGTAATACTTATAAGAACACAGACTGGAATCAGACTGCTTTGGTTTGAATCCCATTTCCAGCGAGCAAGTTCCTTCAGGGTAAGGAGGCTCAGGGGTGCTACAGGAGGGAAGAAGAAGGATGGAGAAGTAAGCCTCATGGAGAAGATGAACACCTTACATCATCTCAGATTTACTTGGGAACTCTCAATATATCCATGTCCACTCAACCATTCTTCCTCTAGTCTTAAAGAATAGAATGATACTCATTCAGTTGTGCAAAAAAAACCTAAAAATCCTATTTGGTTCTCCTATGTACGAGGCTGCAGAAACAACCCCAATCCTTCATCCTTCCCTGTATCCATGACGTTGCCATGGGACACTTTAGTTTTCATTAAAGACTAAAAAGGCAGAGGCTTTTTTCACACCCCTTGAAGTATGGGCTGTCCTCATGACTTGCATTGGCTAATAGAAGGTAGTGGAAGTGACAGTGTATCAATCCTGAGCCGAGCCCTGAAGCGGCTTTTCGTGTTTTTAGCCGAGGTTTTTCATCTCTGCCATTGCCAGGAGGATATGCCCAGGTTACTCTACCAGACAGGAGACACGTGTAGTAGTCAAGTTACCCCAATCATCCCAGTTGAGACCTAGATCAGCTCATAGCCAGGCAAAGTCCAGTTACGAGAGCAAGTGCAGCCAATATCAGCAGATCTACCTAGCCAAGCCCCCAGACACCCGCTGTTGTATGACACTGAGATTTGGTGCTTAACATTCATGCTACAGTATTAGCAATAGGTAAATGATATGCCCCATTATCCCATTTTCTTACATCCCAGACATATTAATTATATCACACAAGTCCTGTACTTCTACCAGTAAAACATCTCAAATCCATTCACTTTCTTCCCGTCTGCGCTGCTCCGCTCTGGTCTAAGAACCACTGTCAGGCCACCTGAACTACTGCTTTCTCTGCTTCCACCCTAGACACTTACAATCCAGTCTTCAAACATCAGAGAGTGGTTTTTTCCCCAAATATAAATCAGATCACTTCAGTCATTCCCCTACTTAAAACCCTTTAATCTCTTCTCATTGCTCTCAGGACACAATCCAGCCTCCTCACCATGACCTCCAGGCCCTGGATGGTCTTCCAAAAACCAGGATGAAAAAGTAGCTCATGTTAAACTCTCAAAAGTGGTTTCCTCAAAGAAATGTTCCTGTTAAGAAATCTCTGCTTGAAGAAAGGTGTTTTACTGCTTCAATTTATGGAATGTTATTTTGGTAAATGTATCAAAATGAAACAGTTTCTTTGGCAGACACAGAAACTGAACATGAAGATCTGATTTTACCAAATAACGAAAAATTAAGGTGGAGAATAAGGGGACAGGATGGAAGGAAAAGTAACAGTACACTGGTAATCCAGTGCATACCCCCGAAATGACAAAAGGATACAGTTAGACCTGAAAAAGAGGCCTACACGTGGAGCTTTAGGAGCCAAGAGGTCCAGACGATGCTTTGGAAAGGATACAGCGCAGTGTTCTCTGACTTCACACCAACAGGAGACTAGGAGAGATGGGGTACCGCTGAGGGAGGCGGTATTAGCTGAAGATCAGACATGAAGTCACACTTCCCAAGAATCTGCAACCGTAAGTGTTATTTAATATTTGTAAAGAGTGCTTTTGGCTAAAAAATATTTGTGCATATTTTTCCTCTTGGATACCTGATGAACTCAGGGTTCAGTGAAGTTCGGTGCACAATAATTCGTTCTCATCCTGACTTTAGTCGAGCATGCTAACTTGATGACTCATGATCCGTGAGTCTACAGGTCTTCCAGGAGTGAATTGCCTTGATTTGTATTTTTGAAACAAATAGGCCTCAAGCAGCTGATTTCTAGGATCGAAATAGGTTGAAAAATAAAGGCTACCAAAGATGCAAACAAAATGGAAAAATCACTAAAATCACTTTCTGTTTTTAAACAACGCTGTTACAGGCCCAGAATACTGAAGACAGGACAGGGATGCCTAAGAAAGGCGTGTGGTGCAGTCAGGGCCCAAGAAGGATGGGCTTTCAGCACAAGGAAGCGCTCTTCAACATACAGCGCAGTGTGTCAGCGCTCCACTGCTCAGCCAGTGGAGGTTTCCTGGCACCTGGCTGCCACAAAGCCTTCTCCTTTGGCCCTTGTAATGGGAGGGGAAAGTGAAGAAAAGCAACTGGGTCCTGGCATTTCTGGAATTTCTCTTCAGTGGACTGACAGTGTATACATATCCCAACATGGCCCATAACTCTACTCAAGAAGGAGACTCTTCCAAGAAAAGGAAGTCCTACAGAAACGGCGTAAGAGATGGAAAGTCCTTCTAAGATGTGCCTCCCCTGCCTTCTCTCACTCCGCTCCCTTCACCGGGAATGTCCTCTCCATCTTCTCTGTGTCCGGCCCCATCCATCCTTCAGACTCGGGCTCACTCCACTTCCTTATGAAGTCTTCAAACAATTACAGCCCCCAGCAATCTACTTCTTTAATAAATTTATCAAAGTCAGAACTCATTCTCTTCGCATCACTGAAACATCACACACACACACACACTCACAGTGTGCACTATCTCAATGAATTATACCATATTTCAAGCCAGAAACCTAGTGGTCATCCTTTCTCTGCCTTTTATTTCCCCAACGCCTTTACCAACCACAAAGCTTGATCAGGCCTCTTCTGAAATATCTGTTGAATCTGACCATTCATATCTGTCCCCAGTGCACCACCCCCTACATCAGCTACCTCCACTTGTTTGGTCTCTCTCTAATTTATCTTGCCCAAATCTCCCATTCCAACATATTATCCACAATGTCATCAAAGTGGTCTTAATCAAATGCACATCAGATCATGTCACTTTTCCAGATAAAAACTTCCAGTGATTCCTTCTGTTCTCATGACATGGGTCTTGATTTCTTACAAAGTCTACAAGGCTCTGTGATCGAGGTTTATGGAAATATGAAGGAAACAGTGCTATCTACTCTTGAGTGCAGCACACAAACCAGTGAACAGGAGGGTGAGGCCGAGAGCAAGCCAGCATTAATGATAAGGAAGCTTCTGAAAAGCGTTCCAGCCTCAGCATGAAATCAAAGGACGTAGCTCAAGTCCTCAGCCTGGTTGGAAATGGGGCACTGAATAGGGTCAACAAGGGGATCAGAGAGGGGTGGAGGTGCTTCAGTGTGCTTCTGTAACACTCCATACTTCTCCAGTTGTAGCACTTAAAAAATTTTATTGAATTCCTGTTACTCCCTGCAGATTTACAAGATCTGTGAAGACAGGGAGGGTGCCCATCTCTGGCCTATAGACAATATGTAACAGATGTTTTAAAAAATAAGTAAGTGAATGAATAAATGAAGGTGAAGATGAGGGCACAGAAGTGGTAGAGGCAGGTGGGTGCCAGAGAATGGTGCCAGGTTCCAGTGGGGTGACCAGGATCAGCTCAGGCCTGATGCTAGCCACTCCCACACAGCTCCTTTCTTCCTAATCCACTTCTCATTCTCTTTGAGAAGGATTGAGGTCTCTGGAAAACAGCCAAAAAATTGTTATGGGAACGGCAGGCCCAAATAAGGCTCAGGCATCAGGAGGATCTGAGAGCTGAAAGCCACTTCTGTTCCCCTCCCTCAGCTGAGGGGGTGGGGACGGGTTCCCGAGCCACAGCCCCTTTGAGGGGGATTTAGAAGGCACATAAAGGCCCCCAGCCAAGGACTTGCTTCCTCATCCCGTAGTTGGGGCCAGAGTTCTCAGGCCTCCACTGAGAGAAAATGTCCATCCAGTAAGTATCTCTGGGAGATTTTTTAAATGCCTTAGTGGGTAGATGGTAAATGGGCTATTTCAAGGGCTCCTGAAGAGGACCGATGACCTGTTTAGGGAGGGCCTTGGGTCTTGCTGGGGGCAATTTCTCCCTATTTATACATTGAAGCAAATATCTGGAATTCAGGTCTAAATTACAGTGGGCTTTGTGTGACTTAGAATGGGGCTTCGAAGCAGCTGTGAGTGCGAAGATTTCAATGAGGTAGGCCAGCGTTCCACTTCCTGCCCAGGCATTTCCTAGCTGTGTGATTTTGGGCAAATTACTTCACTTTTTGAAGTCTAGATTTTTCCATATATAGAATGAGTATAAGAGAGGTACTTACCCCATTGTGTGGTGTGAGATTTAAGTGAGCTAATGGCATGCAAAGTTCTTTTGATAGTGTGTGGTACACAGTGAGTGCTTAATAAAAGAAAACGATCATAATTAGGGGGTCCGGTCAGAGTTCCCACTCTAAGAAGTTACAAAATGGAGCCAAAGTGAAGAGGCAGGAAATAAGCAAAAAGATGAAAGCTGAATCTCCTGGTCTGACTGTTTTTCAAAAGCACTGAGGCTCTTGGAGATCGGTGAAGAAATGAGACGACAGAAAGGGATGATGGTGTAACGTGGGTGAACAAAGGATGAGGTACTGAACCAAAAAGCTGTTGTCTCCCAGCTCCTAGGACAGAAAAGGATGAGACTCTCTGTGAGGCAAGAGAATCGACGATGCGGCGCGCTGGCAGCAGGGACACGCGGGGAGCGCTGTGGGGACTCTGTCAGGATGGGAAGCGATGGCAGCAGGATTTGTTATTTATCTTCAGAAATGTGGGAAAATGCAGAGGGCAGAATTAAGTTCACTGTGACATTAAAAGGGAGGTCATTTCCCCTGACATCAGAGGAGGAGCACAGACCCAGGGCCCCCTTGCAAACCTGATCCGTTTCCAACCCCCCCCACCCCCCACCAAGAGTGCTCCCAGCCAAGCCTAGACTGGCAGTGCTGCACGGGCACTGAGTTGGAGAGCACCTTTGCCCCTGCAGCTCTGCCTCTGTCTCCAGGGACTTCCTGGAGTATGGCATGGGCCTCTTCCTCATTATTGCACCATTTCAGAGTCGAGCATCCTGCTGGTGGTTACAAGAAACTGTTTGAAACGGTGGAGGAGCTGTCCTCGCCGCTCACAGCTCATGTGACAGGTGGGTCTCGCTGATCTGGAAGCTACCCTCTGTTTTCCGTGGAGATCTCTCTTCTCTGGCTTTTTATTCGTTGGCTTTGCTCAGTACCGGCTCCCCCTGTGGGCCACAGAGAGGGGAATCTGAGGGTTGGGGCTTTTTATACCAAGAACCCCATTCCCTCTCATTTCCCTTTTCTTTATTTCTCTAATGTAGAAAAAGGCTACTAACTGGCACTCCATGGGGACTGGGACTACATCCTTGTCATCTTTAACTGTCAGTGCTGGCTCAGTGACTGTCACATGGTAAATGTGCTATAAACGTCTGCTCCGTCAGTGTCTGGAGAAACACGTACCTGGTGACAAGGCTCTGGAGCTATTACAACAAAGGGTGGTGGCTTTCATGCCCGTTCTGTTGGGAGAGTCTTGGTTTTGGGTTCAGGCAGGTGTAGGTGCTAATCACAGCTCTAATATTTTCCTAGCTGTGAATCTTCCAACTTATACTCTCTCAGCCTCAATTCTCTCACTTACCAAAACCAAATTTCGCCTCACGGAGATGTTGTAAAGATTCAATGAGATAATGTAAATAGTAAGAGTCCCCCAGTATCTGTCACAAAGTGATCAGTAACTGGTAGTTACTATTCTCTTGTTATCATTATCCAGAGACACCACACAACCTGTCCAGCATCCTTGCTTGGATGTGGTGTCACTGAAAGGGCCACAGCCTGGGCGAGTCTCCTTCCTTTCAGTTTTCTCTTCTGTAGAGTAGAAGGGATGAGCCAAATGCTCTTTCTCAACTTCATTCTGATGTGAGCAGTGCAGGTTCTAGCAATCAAGTTAATGTTGTCCCTTTTAGTTAAGCCATGCCTTCCTAAACTATAAATATTTTTAAATATCCCAGAAATATAAAATATAATTATATTCCTAAAATATAAATATTTTATAAATATCCCAGAAATATAAATCCTTATCAAGTGGGCTGTGAAAATTGAGCTGCAGGAAATAGTCCATTTGTTAAAAAAAAAAATCATTAGTAAGGATTAGGCAAACACTGCCAAACGCTGTACTTTTCAAAGGAAAAAAAGGGCACAAAGTGAACTGCTTAAACTGAAAGGCCCCACGCCTCTCCTGTGCCCCCTCATTGTGCACACGAGGGCACTGAGGGCCGGGGATGGCACACGGCAAACCCTGACCCGGAATCCAGGCCTCTGACACCCGGCCCGGTGTACTTTGCACAGCAGGTTAACTTCATCTGGAAGTCGCCCGTACTCTCAAAAGAATATAGCTCTAGGTTTTAGAAAGCCAGTATTCTTGTTGTTTCATTTAAATGGTTTCGTCTGTACACGCATCTTTTTTTAGTGTCTTGATCCCTGCTCCTTATCCATCCCTTCTACTGCTCACTCCATCAAAATATCAAGAAACTCGAAATTCTTCTTAGAAGTGAGATGGTCAAAAGGCAAGTATCTTGGTCTCTGGGGCAAGCTGTCAGGTGGAGACTTCCACATCCCTCAGAATGCCTGTCCCTGTCTCCTCCTAGCCCTTTATCCAAACTCAGGCGTTGCCACATTTCCCACCCCTCGGTCTCCCAGCGGAAGGAGAGTCAGTCCAGCAGACATTTTCTTAGTGCTGCCGGGCTTGAGAGCTGGGGATGTGAAGACTGTCAGCTTCACAAAGAAGAGGCTGCCCAGTCGGGCTGCCAATAGAGTCACCGGCCTCACAGGGACGAGCCAGCCAAGGGCAGGGGTAAGAAGCAAGGTTCTGTGTCTCACCTTCATCACAGGCAGGATCCCCCTCTGGCTCACGGGCAGTCTCCTTCGATGTGGGCCAGGACTCTTTGAAGTTGGATCTGAGCCATTTTACCACCTGTTTGATGGGCAAGCCCTCCTGCACAAGTTTGACTTTAAGGAAGGACACGTCACCTACCACCGAAGGTAAAGGCCTGCTGGGTCCCACTCCTCCTCCCGGGGCTGGGACCCAGCTCAGCTCCTCTTTCCCTGTGCTTCTCAACCTCCTGAACCCAAAAGAGGATTTAGATATTCGCTTCCTCTCTGAGTCCACCTGGGCCAGTGCATCCGGGTGGACACCCAGGAACTGTGCTGCGGGATAGAGAGGAAGCTAAGAACTAGGGCTTTGGGGTCCAACATACCTGGCTTCAAACCCTATATCTACCAGACACCACTTGCCTAGGTGGGCAACCTTTAGCATGATCTTAATCTCCAATTCTTGGTTTTGTCATCTCCAAAACGGAAAATAATAGAATGTACTTCAGGGTTCGTTACAAGGATTAAATGAGAACACAGTGCCTAGCAGGTAGAGAGCATTCAGGAATAATAATAGTTATTATTATAGTTATTGTTGTTATTAGGCCACTAGCTCTCTCGACTCCTTTCCTTTTTTATAATCAGAAAGGCCACAGGGAAGGAGGGAGGGGAGCTACAAAGGAGGGAAGGACCAAATATGTCAAAATGATACAGAAAAAATAGGGTTTCTAAAACAGGAGGTTGTTGCTGAAAGGCTTGTAAGCTGAAGCCCGCACTCCAGGAAGCCCCATTAACACCACGGTGAGTAGATCGTCTCATGCTCTGATATTTAGGCCTGTTAGTGGCTTTGTTGATCACCACAGATGTCAGGCATCCTGAAGAGACAGCAAAAGGAAGAGTAAATGGATGTTTAAAGTAGTCACGATAACTTGGACTGCAACAAGAGAAAGAGATCAGGTCAAGCAAAAATTTAGTTTTAAAAGCATACTTTGGAAGTCAGACAAAGCTTTCATATGTCGAGACCTTGATACTTTTTCCTCTTCATGACTTTGTTTCTTCATCTCTGACATTCTAAACACTTAATATATGAACTGCAGAAAGTGTAAACTCAGATTTTAATTGGCTCTCCATATGAGAAATCCTAGGCAGCCTATGTCATGTAGTCTGGGACATGGTTCAGGAGGTCTGCCTGTGCAAGCAAACGGATTCAAGAATACCTACTCTTAAAGGTAGTAAAATAAATTTTAAAACTGAAGAAAAACACAAAAGGGACATAGGGAGATTGAAAGGAATATAATTCAGCACCCCACATCCTATATTTCTCAGCTAAGTGTAGGTTGATGGTTTAGAGGCTACAGGAAGTCAGGGGTCCTATGGGAACTACGCATGGCGGCTGCATAGTGTGATATAGAAAATGCATGTTTTTTGGCTCTGGACAACTTGAGCTCTAACCCAGTTCAGCCACATAGGCCAACCACTTAACTTCTCTGAGCCTCAATTTCCACCTGTCCCTGAGAGGTCTATAGGGCATAAATTTAAGCTTGTAGCATACTGTCTCTTTCGATCTTGGTCACCCCAAGAAAGTGACCTGACAATACTCTTCATTCTTTATGCTGTGCATTTATGATTCCGACTTGCTAAGTACCCACAGAATGACCATTCTAAGCTTCACATGGACTACACTGATTGCCCCGTCTATGACCCTTTCCTGTGTCTCAATGTCCTTCAGGTTCATCCGCACTGATGCTTACGTACGGGCAATGACCGAGAAAAGGATCGTCATAACAGAATTTGGCACCTGTGCTTTCCCAGATCCCTGCAAGAATATATTTTCCAGGTTACTGAAACCCAACCGCATGTTACTAAAGACATTTTACATTAGCTCTTTTTCTCTCATGGCTTGGAAGCTAAAGCTACTGGACTGAAAAATCCATTTGCTTCTGCAGGTTTTTTTCTTACTTTCGGGGAGTGGAGGTTACTGACAATGCCCTTGTTAATATCTACCCAGTGGGGGAAGATTACTACGCCTGCACAGAGACCAACTTCATTACAAAGGTTAATCCCGAGACCTTGGAGACAATTAAGCAGGTGGGACATGGTGCTCAGGAGACGGTGCTCAAGAATTTAGAATTTGCAACTTAGGATGAAATCAACTGTGCAGTTTGGTAGAAAGAACATGAGAGCCAGATAGATTAAGTTTCAAATCCTTGCTTTCTCATCAACTACTAGTCATGTGACATAAGGCAAACTTTCTTCATAGTTTCTTCAACTATGAAATTTTAAACACTTATTATATGTATTGGAGGAAAACCTTATAAAATGCCTAACGTGTTCATTCATTCATTTGCGACACAAATATTTATTGAATCCCTTCCACATTCCAAAACTTATGCTAGATGCAAGGGATGCATTAATGGGTAAGATAACATGGTCCCTGTCATTTACAGCTCTTATAGGCTAGCGTGGACCTGGCACATACCAGGTGCTCAAAAAATTGCAGCTATTAATATTGAAAATTCTGCTATTCATGGTTCTAGGTGAGTATGTTGAACCAATTTGCCCTTTCTTATAGACACACCTTATTAGAAATAAAGCTATATTTTAAATGAAATAGCATAGAGAAAAATATCAGCAACATTTAGAAAGCGACAAATTTTGCTAAGAACTTAGACATGCAATGCAGCATTCAATAAAATAGATCCACATTTTCAACCCATATTTATTAAGATGTAACTATTTCCAAGGCATCCTTCTTGTCCATTTCTCCAACACCTCGGTGGAGAAATCAAACCAATACACAACTTAAATATAATAGGACATACAATGTGATGAGCCCTTTAGGAGAAGGAAAACCTTCTATGAAAGCACAGAGAAGAAAGAGATTACTTCTGGCAGTCATTGGAGGATGTGAAGCAGGGTAGATCAAGGAAGGTTAAAAAGGCTTGCATTTGAGTTAGAAGTTAAAGAAGAGGCACAACGTCAGTGAATTTGGAGAAAAGACATTTCAGGCGAAGAAAGTAAAATGATTAAAGGTATAGAGATGGAAACTAAAGGATAATTTATTTGGCACTTTTGCTGTATTTCTCAACAGAAGTGCTAGTGGCATTGGGTGGGAGGTACTCCATCGTTGTGAACACTGTGCCACACATTGCAGAGGTTTGGTGTCCCATCCTTTAAGTATCAGTCATGTCCTCAATCATTGTACAAACCGGAAATGCTCCCCAACATTCCCAGCTCTCTGCCTAGGGGATATCACCCCCAGTTGAGAACTAGTGATCTAGAGCACGCACTGTCAAGTGGGACACAGGGGAAAGTGAAGCTACAAGTTTGAATAATGGACAAAATTTGGAATAAGTTGTTTAGCTAATGGAAAGCTACTGAAAGGTTTTGCTCAGAGAAGTGGTACAAGCAGAGCTGTGCTGCAGGAAATTTAATCTAGAAGCCATCTGTAAACTGTATGGGAGGACAAAAGAGATACAGGATAGCTAGAAGACCAGTTGAGTGGAATTCAAGACCAGAACTAGAAATTCAGTGTAGTGGGAATAGAAAGGAAAAATAGTACCAACACTGGGTCTCAATATCACAAGCTGATTTATAATTCTCAACAGACTATTTACTAAGGCTTAACGTACTCTCAAGAGCTCTTCCATGTTTTTGACGCATGTCTGTAAGCACGTGTGTGTGTGTCTGTGTAGATCATTTAGAGAAGAACTGAAGCTGAGTTTTTAAACCATTCATTTGACTCTGATAGTGAATCTGCGTTCCAATCGCCATGGTAATTTAATTGGGAATGCGAAGTTCATGATACGGCTCCAGAATAGACTTTATTAGGAGTCAGGTTCCATTGTGTACCCTGGCTTCATATAAAAATATAGCTTGAAAACGTTGAGGGTTTTTTGTTTACTATTACTGAAATAGTCTCCTCACCAGTGCCTTTGCCTCCAGCCTGATTCTCTTAAATACAACTTCCTTACCTCAGCAGAAGCAACATCTCTAAAATGCAAGGATGAATGTGTACGGGCGCCATGTGGGGCACCCACAGTTTCCAAGGTAAAGTTCAAACAAAGGCCTTTGTGGCTGGCCCCTTATTTCCCCTCCTTGGTGCATGCCCTTCACGGCAGCCATGTTGAATGACTAGTAGTCGCCGAACAGCACACGCTGTTTCACAAGTCTAAGCCTGTACATCAGGGTTCCACTCTCTGGAGCGCAGTCATCCTTCTCTGCCTGGCTGACTTTTACTCATCTTTCAAGCATTAGTTTTACTCATCTCTCATTGTCTTGTGAAGTCCTGTCTAATCCCCCAGTCGGGGTTAGATGACCTTTCTCTACAGACACCATTTTGCACTTGCCACACTGTAGACCAGCTTTGTGGTCTAACGCAGTGCTATCCAATAGAACGTCCCACGAAGATGGAAATATTCTACATCTGCACTGTCCAAGTGCTAGAGAGCACTTGACATGTGGCCGACGTGATTAACTTTGAAGTTTTATCTAATTATAATTAATTTACATGTAAATTGCTACATGTGGCCCATATTGGACAGCGCAAGTCTAGACTGAAATTCTTTTTTTTTTTTTTAAAGATTGGCACCTAAGCTAACAATTGTTGCCAATCTTCTTTTTTTTCTCCCCAAATTCCCCCAGTACATAGTTGTATATATATTTTTTCTTTTAGTTGTGGGTCCTTCTAGTTGTGGCATGTAGACTGAAATTCTTGAAAGGACGGACCGTCTCTGTTTTCTGGACCCTGGCACAGTGCCTGGCATATAATGGAAGCTCAATGAGTACTTGATGAATGCTGGAATGAATGAAGGAATGTCTTGCCTATTATTTAAATAAGGATGCTAAAAAATCCCTATCCTTTAAAACATATTCTCTTAATCCAGTAGAAAGAATTTTGGTTAAACAAATATACACTCCATCAATTATTCATTCAACAAGTCCTTATTGAGAAGGTCCCGGCTAGACATTTTACTGCTGATTTTGCCAATGTTTGATTCTGTATCCTTGAACAAGTCACTTGACCTCTCAGGAACCTCAATTTCTCCTTCTGCAAACCAAGAGGTTTGTGCTAGATCTGTGGTTCTGAATCTCTTATGAGACTCCAAATTGAATTAAAGCGCTAAGTCTTCTCTCCAAAAACGTTTGCATTTAATTTCAGGAGATTCATAGTTTCCCTGACGTCTATTTAGGTGAAGACTTTCTATATTAGATGAATCCTGGGGTTCCTTTCAGTAGCAGATCCATACTCTGTGCAAGCCACTGGATTTGGTATTTAGGTTGTCCCATACAAAACTGCCATTTTTGTAAAACGAAAATTATTGAATATCAGCAATTTCATACAATTCATCTAATATAATAAGGGAAATACACAGAAGTCCCAGGACTCAAATTTATCATTGTTTGAGGACAACCTGCATGTGCAAAAGGAAAGTGACTACTCAGCACGGTGTACAGTATACATCAACTGAGCACAGCCAGGGAGAACTCCAAGATTTCAGAGGCACAAGGGGTTACCATGGGGGTCAGAGGAGAGCTCTGCACCAAAGATGGGAATTCAGGCAGACTTCAAAGAGGGTAGGACCCAGAGAGATGGAAAGAAAGAGAAAGTGCACTCAGGGTGACGGTGCAAGCAGCAGCTCTGAGGTCAGATCTAGGGACCAAAGGTCTTTCTTTACACTCTTTCTCGTAACATGGATGGCATTTGCTCTCCTTCCCTAGGTTGATCTTTGCAACTATGTCTCAGTCAATGGAGCCACTGCTCACCCCCACATCGAAAGTGATGGAACTGTTTACAACATTGGTAATTGCTTTGGGAAAAATTTTTCAATTGCCTACAATATTGTGAAGATCCCTCCACTACAAGCAGGTCAGTTTACCAATTTGACTCTTCTTAAAACAAATGTCTATCTTGTGAGAAAGTTCCTGGAAATACAGGATGCCAGATCAGAATATCAGGATAGCACTACATGCACAGTTAAATTACTCTGATTTCAAGATGATTGTCCTCATCCCTGTCCTACCAGGGGACCTATGCCCAAGGGCACCAAAGCAGGAAATGACATCTTGAAAATACAGAAAGCAAGTGACCGAGCTCTATTCTACAATGATTCAAAGATGTGGTGTACATGTGGATTTGATAAGACTTAGATTCAAATCCAGCAAACATTTATTGAACGCTTATTCACGTGCTAGGCAAAATTAAATTTTTAAACAAACATATGTGTATGCATAAGAGCATAAACACATATATGTATGAGGGTGTATTAAGTATGCTGCGTGTATTTAGTTCCCAAAACTACAAAGAAATCTATTAACTCATATTAATATAAAGAAAGAATATTAAAACAGGAGAGAGAGTACATTGTAAAATTCTCCATTCATTGCCAGAAATTTGATAACCATCTTGATGATAGAATTATTTGAATATATGTGGGTTTTTGTAGTGTCCCTTAGCATGATTCTCAAAGTCTAGTCCCTGGACCAGCCGCATCACCTGGGAACCTGTTAGAAATACGAATCTTGAGCCCCACCCAAGGCAGACTGAATGAGTAATGCTGGGGATATGCCCACCATCAGCATTTTAAGAAGCTCTTTATGTGACTCTGACACACACTAAGGTTGGAAGACCACTGACTTAGTAGTAAATAAACTTTAATGTGCTTAAGAATTACTGTACAGGGCTATTGACACAAACCCACATACACTATTCTTTACAGGTAGCTAAGAGACTGTAAAAGGCATTTTGGCCATCCTCATGGTTTGCCTTACTCCCCTGACTTAGAACCCCACCTCCAAATGTAAGATGCGACTCTGCTGCATTCTGCCTGCCACAACACTTTTTGAGTGCGTTTTTCCAAATCTGTTGCTATTTGGATTTTCCTGGGTGATTGCAGCTTCACATGAAATTTTGCTAAGAATGCCAATGCCTGAGAAAATGATAATAAGTTCTGAAAAAAAATAAAGATCTGAAAATGTATTTCTTTGCTTGCATTAAGCTGTTCTAAATGCTCTGTATTTAAAGAAAAAAAAAAAAAAGAGGCTGTTCCAAAGCCTTCTAAAACCACTTTATTTCAGACAAGGAAGATCCAATAAGCAAGTCAGAGGTCGTTGTACAATTCCCCTGCAGTGACCGATTCAAGCCATCTTACGTCCATAGGTAACTCAAAGGCCTGCTATGAATCTTCAGGAAAACTCAAGTTTAAAGATCTGCTTTGCCTACCTTTGATACCAATCCTGATCACGACACTTTCTTGCAGAAACCCAAATTTAAATGTAACTAATTTCATGTAGGCACTGTTGATTCATGTAACTGAGCATACATCAAGTGTACGTATTTCTTTGTGGTTTGAGAATCAGCCCTTCCCATTCACAAGTCTATTTGTGTTTCTGAACAGTTTTGGTTTGACTCCCAACTATATTGTTTTTGTGGAGACACCAGTCAAAATTAACCTGTTCAAGTTCCTTTCTTCATGGAGTCTTTGGGGAGCCAACTACATGGATTGCTTTGAGTCCAACGAAACCATGGGGGTAAGTCTTACATTTATTTGTCAAGTTTGTGATTCTGAAGAAGGTATATTTCATAATGAACATCTTTTTCATTTTTAAATGCATCAAAATATTTTCCTCACTTTTCAAGGTTTGGCTTCATATTGCTGACAAAAAAAGAAGAAAGTATCTCAATAATAAATACAGGACCTCTTCTTTTAACCTCTTCCATCACATCAATACCTATGAAGAGAACGAGTTTCTGATTGTGGATCTCTGTTGCTGGAAAGGGTAAGAGAGGACCTTAGATAAATCCTACAGCTGCATCTCCACTTGCTCCTGGAAATTAGGGGCTCTTTTCAGAGATGCTACTCTCAATATTTAACCTGAATTACATCTGAAAAAGCAAGGAGTATGCTTACGTCCCAAAATGTAATTGAAAAAGCAGTAGGGAGTTTAGGTAATCAGAAACACTCACAAACTGAACATCAAACCATGGTTCATGATTGAAAACCAGTCAGATCCATGAACCAGATCTGAAAAGAAAAGGTTCTGTGACCTGTTAAGTGAACTTAAACTGAACTCCACTTAAACTGGACAAGATCCCTTGGGGGGACCTTGAACTCCACCCACTCTGGGTTTGGGAGAAAGAGACATGCTTTCTTCAGAATAGCCAAGTCACTAAAAAGACCGTAGTCCCTAAAGACACAGACAGAATGGTGATGGGGAAGCAGAACAGAAAGTATCACAGGCTGCTGTTACTTAAACATCCACCAGGCAGTTGCGTTTTTTCACACAGAGTGGACAGGAGGAAATGGCTGTAACATACTTGGGCCATTAGCAGTTCCTGGCTGGGGAACAAAGAACAGACAGGTGGTTGTGCTTTTAAAAGGCAGGAATCATCTCTCCAAAATTATTTGTATTTATCCGTACTTCATGTTTGACTTCTTATTTTTGCAGATTTGAATTTGTTTATAATTACTTATATTTAGCCAATTTACGTGAGAACTGGGAAGAGGTGAAAAAAAATGCCAGGAAAGCTCCCCAGCCGGAAGTTAGGAGATACGTGCTTCCTCTGAATATTGACAAGGTAACCGCCCTCCCTGGAGATTACAGACACAAGAATCTCTCACCCTTCTCAGCATTTGTTCTCCAGCTTTATGTTCACACATAAAGTCTTGAAATGTCGGACCTGAAAGGAACTTGAAAAATCAATTAATTCGACTCCCCTCGTTTTACAAACAAGGAAACTGAAGCTCAGAACAGAGCCATGACTGAGCGAAAGCAACTGCAGCATGGCCAGAGTGACAACTAGATTTTGATTCTAAATCTGGTATTCTATCATTTCCAAAATCCTTTAAAATATACTTTCTCAGTGAATAGTGCAGACCACTGATTCCTAGGATCCTTTGTCAATATGTAAATAATTTAATTTGAATAATTCGAAATTCTAGAGAGATAAAGCATCAAAAAGTGCCTTCGCAGGGAAATCAGCCCTTTATTTTGGTTTCTGACAAATCTTCTGAAAATATCACTAGAGCATAAAAGGCGCTAATAGCATCAGACAGTCGTCTCTTTATTTCTACTTTTTCTTCCCTGTATTCAGTGACTGTCTTTTTAAAATGTCAGAGTCACATCCAGAATTTTTAGTGTGATAGAAACGCCAGTCAAAATCAAGAAAATATAAAGTTCCCAATAGATACATGAGCAGACACTCTCATTTATGTACATTTGAGATACAGACACAGAACTACATGGTTGAGGCAGCTACGTGGAATGTAAAACACTGTCCCCAAGGCTGAAAACAGATGCGGTGGAAACTAAACCCAATTTAGAACCAGACACTACAGCTCCGAAGCAAGCTTGTAAGCTCTGTGAAGAATAAGAAAGAGGGAGATTAAGGTTGGGCGTTCTAGGGAGGTAAAAGAGCTTCTACAAAGGCAGGGAGCAGTTTAAAAGGCAAAACTCAATATGGAAATGGAAAGCAGTTGCTGGGGCTGGTACTTAGGAACAGAGGGGAGATGGGCTTTGGGCAGGCGGACCAGGGGGATATTATATGGGACTTTATAAGCCTTTGGGTTTTATATAAATGATAGGGAGCCATGGAAATATTTGAAGTGTGTGGAATGTGTATATGACATAATTAGATCTGTAATCCAGAAAGTTCACTCTAGTAGCATGGTGGAGGACAGTTTGAAAACGGGGAGTCTGGAAGCTAGAGGCTCTTTAGAAGACTAATGCAATATGGCAAATAAAGAGGATAAATGTCTGAATTTAAAAGAATGGAAACTGAGAGATAAAGGAAGGTACAAAGCTGAGAAGTATTCAGGAGGCAGCATGAGCAGGAGCTGGTGAGCAATTGCATGTGAGGGAGAGGGAGGACCTCAGGATAACTTCCAGATTTCTGCCTTGAGCACTTGAGTGGATGATGAGTAACTGAGTTGGAAACACGAGAGTGGGAGGAGCTGGTGTGCAGGAAAAAGTAAGATTTATTTTATACCTGTTGAGACTGAGGTACTCACTGGCCATCCCAAGAGGAACGTTCCACAGGCAGCTGGTATAGATGGATCTGGAGCTCTGGGAGATGGGTCTGGGTACCTTAAGGGCTCTTAAGTTCCCCTTAGGAAGCAGATCTCTGGCATGTAGTTGAATGCCCATCAAATACCAAATGAATGAGTCAGTCGATTTTAGTAAACTCTTATTTTGCTAATAACGGTAAAATCACAGTAATCTTTAAGGAAATGAAATACGACCATTTAACTTAAATATTCCTTACCTCACTGTCTCCACATTCCAAAACAAAGAAAAAGGAAGGATTTTTCTAAATGTGTAGTTACCATTACCTAGTTGTTTCACACTAGTTGCTGTATCACACTAGTTGTTTCAGTGGGTACATTGAGAGGATCCACTTTTCGTTCTCCTGGAAGTCATTACCTAGTGTAGCGGGAAGGAAGGAGATTCGGTAACGATAACGCACGTCAGCACGAGGGCAGGGTGAGTCGCTTTGGTTATTCAGAGAATGGAGCAGTTGAACTTGTTTCAGGAGATTCATGGAACACAGGCATTTGCAGTATTTTGGCAGAAGAGATGGGACTGAAGCAGAACAACTGAAGACAGGAGGAATAGTTCAAGGAAAGACAGAGAAGTGGGGAGGGGCAGAAAAGCAGAGGGAATTGATTGCAATCCAACTGGTTAGGACATAAGCAAAAGTAGTGGAATCAATGGGGAAAAGAGCTATAAAAATAGGTTGGTAATCTCTGAAGGCATAAGGCCAGGTGAAGAGTTTGTACTGTATTTGGCAGGTGATGGGGGACAATGCAGGTTTTGAACAGAAGAAAACCATGTTCAGAGCTGGTGGGCTGGGTGTCAAGTGTACTGACCTTCTGTGGTTGTCTCTATGACTAAATGTCTGTCTTCTCTGAGCAAGTCCCTCAGTCACTCTCAAGTTCAGTTGCCTGCTCTGAAACCTAAGTATATTAGACTAAATAATTACTAAGGTCAGCTGCAGCTTTAGTACTCTGATTTTCCACATTAAGGCTGTGTTGGGTATAAGTAGAACTGGGTATAAGTATAAGTGGAGAAAGGATGGAGATAGGGACCTGGCAGAGGAGACAATTAAAACTCCTCAGGTGAGAGAAAAATGCAGTGATAGTGGGAACCTACCAACGCTGCCAAAAGGGAGAGTTGCTGCAGGTGGAATTAAAAGCCTCTCACGTTTGATTGGACGGCAGAATGGATGAAGTCTTAGACCTGCAAAAGGTCACTGAGATCCTTTAAGCCTTCGTGTCTAAAGTAGCGATATCTTTCAAAGTAGGGACTGTAACAGGCAGAGCAGGTCTGGAGATAAATATGAACCAAGGAACTCTGAGAAGCAGGGATCATGGGTACGCAGCCGATTCAAGTCAAACAGACCCGAACTTGAATTTCAGCTCTGCCACTTACTGGCTCTTTGATTTAACCTTAAATTCTCTTTCTCTATGTACAAAGAAAAACATTTAAGCTTCTTAGATTTCCTTTTCTTTATCTATATCCATCTTATAGTGTTGTTGTGATCAGTAAATGAGGTGATAATATGTCAATCACTAAATACAGCCCCTAGCACAAAGCAAGTGTTAAATAAATATTTGTTATCATCACCATCATCAACAACAAAAGTAATATCTACAACATCTTCATGAGGAAGTCTTGTAGGCTTTCTTATGCAAGTGCAGGACCTTGTGAGAGAAATAAGGGTTGGAAGAAAAGAACTGATAATTATTGGTATTGAAATGATGATCAAATGCGTGAGAACAGATAGACGAGACTGCTAGCAGGAAAAAAATTCATACTTTAGAGTAAGTTTTCTAAAAGAAACATAAACATTTGCTTATTTTAAAAACGAGGAATCTGATAGCCAGAAAATGCTTAGAGAGAAGAAAAGATGACCAAGCACAGAAGTTTGGGAAACGCTCACGTGCAGAAAGTGGTAGAAAAAGAGCAGCCAGAAAAAGAAAAAGTCACCAAAGAGCCCTAATTACAGCTAAGAGAGGGTGAGGCCACTCAGGACAGGGCAGAGGGTGTCGTTGGTGCCCACTGCCACAGACAAGCTGGAAGGGATGGAGACTAGGGACCAGACACCAGATGTGGTGATGTCCAGGGGAGCAGGACGAGAGAGGTCGAAATCAGGTTTCAAGGCACTAAAGGTGGGCATCTGGTGAGCCTGTGGGAGCAGGTACTGTACTCTGTACTTTCCAAAGTTTGCCAGTGAAGGGAAAAATAGGTCGTAAACTAGGATAAGGAGAGATAATAAACAGATCAAGGGAAGGGCTCAGGAGAGGAAAGAGTATAAGATGACTGAAGTTTCCAGTTGACTGGTTAAGACGGTGGTAGTATCTTTAACATATATCTTTATCATTTTTGAATAGGCAGTGCGTGTAAATGGTGGAGAAATCAAAATGATATAAAAAGGCATATTCGCTGGGAAGTGTCAGTCCGGTCTTCGTCTGCACCCATTCCGTTCCCAAGTGTAACTTTCATTAATGTCTTCCTTTTCCTTGGTTTGCTCATGCAAATATAAGAAAATACAAATTTATATATAATTGTTATTTCCCATTCTCTTACCAAAAAGTGGATTTCTATGTCCACTGCTTTGTTCCTTGCTTTTTTTCATTTAAAAATATATACTGAAGATCTTGCTTTTTTCGACTACACAGTATTCTTTTTGTGAACTTACCCAAGCCTCTCACTGCTCAGCAGCAGAGTTGTTTCCAGTGTTTGGCTTCTACAGATAATGTTACAAGGAGTAACTTTGTATGTGTGTTATTTCATAGACGTGCAGACATATCAATAGGAGAGATTCTCAGAAGGGGCACTGCTGGGTCAAAGGACAAACGTGTCTGCAGAGGAAAAGTATGGGGAGGGGAGTCAAAAGGAGGAGGTAGTTTGTTGAGGAAAGCAAAGATAACATGACGGATTTCCTACATAAAAAACCTTAATTTAATAATAGAAAAAATAAGATAGAACAGAGTAAAATAATTAAATTTACAATCACATAAATAATATGTTTGACACAGACATTTGACCTTATTGCGTGCATAGATAAATATGCAGATATATGTACACCACTATCTTCTTCCCAACATCAACACGAAATGCCTTGAGGCCCCATTACACAAAATCTCATGAAATCCATTCTTCTCTTTGCTTCTCACCTCCCATCCCTTCCCTATCCTGGAAATCTTCCACCACTTCCTCTTAACTCATAGTACGTCACAAGAAAAATCCCCTCTATCCTCTTATCAGAACGTTCCCGCCACCTTCTTTCTTTAACCAAAATCTGGCTCTCTCCCGAGGACACTGGTCTGTCCACAGCAATTTCCAGGGTGGCAGTTTCTCCTCTGGCCTGGAGTTGGGGTAGGTGTCCTCTTTGTTCCACTTTGCTGCTTCCACACCATTGTTCCTTCTATCCACCCTTAAAATCTCTCAATTTTTAATCTCATTCCGGCTAATTATATAGCCAAGCGCACGTACACGTGTACATATATACACCTCTCATTATTGCTGTCATCTGCTAACCAACACTCCCTCTGCCTCCTGGCTCAGTGTCACACTCCCCAGATCTACTCTTGACTCTTGGTGATTTCAGTATACACATCGTACGCGATTCTTCCAGGAACCTGGCCTTCGGTTCCTTGAGCTCTCCCGCTGAACCTGTCTTCCGACCTAGCTCAGCTACTCCCTCCCCAGAGTCATATCCCTGACCTTGCCATTACCCATGAATGCTTCCTCCATAATCTTAGTTTCATGCATGACACACCTCTCATCTTTCAAGATCACTTGCCCTACTGCCATTCCCACCAGGATCCTCCCATCCACCAAACCCGTGACCTTCTCACTATCCCTCACTCCCCTGAGGACTTGCTTGCCCTCCTTACACAACTAAAATTCCATGGTCAATCATTTTAATCACCCCCTTGTATAGATCCTCATTTCTCTTGCCTCTTTCTTACTTTACCAAACTCATTTGTCAAAACCACAATCCTAGTTAAATTCAACTTTCCACCCACTCCGTGCTTGTACTTCTGAGGCTGAAATTAATTGCTGAAAAACACATAATCGTGTTAATTGGCCCAATTTTAAATACATGTCCACAAACCTTACTGCTACATTTCCCAACTTCATTTACTCTCCCACTTTCCTAGCTAAGTATTTCACACCCTCCTCTCTTCAAACTTCTAACACCCTCCACCTCCACACTCATCCGCAGCTGATGTCTCTGCTTCCTATTTCACTGAAACAAATGAAAGAAATCAGAAAAGAACCATAGACTCCTGCCACCACATCCACCCGCCCACCAGCATCTGCACTCAGAATGAATTATCCATCTTCCTGCCCAGAACTGGCCCGTCCCAAGCTCCTCACCCACGGGAGGACGTCACTGTAGCAGTTCTACCCTCTCCCCGACGTCGTCACTCTCCTCCCTTTCTCACTGGACCACTCAGATCATGCGGTTATTTTGCTCTCTTACAAAATCCTCCCCTTGACTCCTCTTGCACCCACCAGCTACCCCCTCATTCCTCTTCTTGAAGACCTTCTCATGTTGAGGGCACCAAAACTCAGCCCTTTGTTCTCCTGTCTTCTGTTTGTACAAAAGGGTGTGCTCTTTGTAAAGACACGTTTTAAACCAGCCTACGTTTACGTTTTCAACTTTCCTTTCAACTCAAGGTTCTTATATGCTACAGCCAACGCCACGTCTCCATTGGAGGTCCAATGGACATCTCAAGCTGAATAAGACACAACTTAAACTTCTCATCTTCCCCCACCAAATAATTTACCCCACATGCAGTGGCCACCATCTTTGTTGTGACAACACCAACCTTTAATTGTTCGGGCTAATCTGAACTATTGTTTTCTTTTGACTGGACTACTATAAGACAGACTGGTTTCCCTGATTTCATTCTTGCTTCCCTCCTACTCTTAAGGGTAGTCTCAAAAGAGGAGCCTGAGTGATTCTTTTTTTTCTTTTTCTTTCTTTTTTTTTTTTTTTTGCTGAGGAAGATTTGCCCTTCCCTAACATCTGTGCCAATCTTCCTCTATCTTTCAGTATGTGGGCCACTAGCACAGCACGGCCAGTAACAGAGTGGTGTAGGTCCCCACCCAGGAACCAAACCTGGGCCACCAAAGTACAGTGTGCTGAGCTTAACCACCAGGCCATTGGGGCTGGCCCCTGAGTGATTCTTTTAAAAATAAATCATAGCATATCACTCTTCTGCTCAAAGTCCCCCAGTGGCTTCCCATCTCTCACTCACTGTCTCTTGGTGATTCCAATATACTCATCATAAGGGATTCTTCCAAGACCTGACCTCTCAGTTCCTTGACCTCTTCCACTGATCCTGTCTTCCATTCTAGCTCAACCACTCACTCTCCAGTGACCAAGAAAAAGACCAAGTCCTCTCAAAGAGCTATAAGGCTCTACACAGCCTGGGCCCATTACCTCTCTCCTCTCCTCTCTTGCTCTTCTCCCGCATGCTCAGTCAGTTGCGGCCACATGGATCTCTTTAACGTTCCTCAAGCACATTCAGCATCCTCCTACCTCAGATCTTTGTCCTGTTTGCTTGCTCTTCTTGAATGCTCTTCCCCAGATATCTGCACTGCTAACTGCCTCGTCTCCTGCAAGTTTTGTCTCAAATGTCACCTTTCCAGTGAGGCCCACCCTGACCGCCTATTAAAATTACAACCCACCTACTCTTCCCACATATGATCCCCTTATTCTGCTCTATTTTCTCCCCACATTTATGATGTACTATACACTTTATCTATTAATTATATTTATTGTTTATGTCCCCAAACTGGAATGTAACCTTCAGGAGGACACGGACTCTATTCCCTAAAATATCCCAAATGCCTAGAATAAAGTCTAGCACAAAACATGTAGTGAGGTATTAATAAATGAATATGTTCTTAGAAAGAGTTCATGATATATTATATTCATAAAATAATCTGAAAAATCATGTGGTGGGGGGATGTGGGTGACGAGAGATCTTAGGAAACATCTGGTCTGGTAGATTTTCTACATTTATTCTTCCTTTTGACAAAATAACTGTATGATTTTTTTTCAAACAAGATCAAAATACATCCTAACTATAAAAGAGATGAACACTGTAAATGGATCCCTAGGGGGTTGAAGTCTTTGTTGTTCTGCAGAAAAACGCTGTTTTTCCTGAAGCCCTTCCTCAGAGGACTTAGTCTTTGAGGACAGTCTCATTTTACGGATGAGAAGATTGAGGGCCTGAGAGGTTGTGTGACTTTCCCAGTGACACACAGGCAGTGACTGACACAGGCACAGACAGCTTTCCCAGTCGTGTCCCCGGGCTCCCCCTTCTAGAGTTTTCTGCACTGTTTCTCCCTACATGTTGACTTAAGAAATGAAGAACTCAGGAGATAAGACTCTGGAAGACTGCATTTCTGGATACTTGACTTCTTTTCTGCTCACTGAAGTTTCTGTTATCCTTTTTCGTAGGCTGACACAGGCAAGAATTTGGTCACTCTCCCCAACACAACTGCCACTGCGATTCTGTGCAGTGACGAAACCATCTGGCTGGAACCTGAGGTTCTCTTTTCAGGGCCTCGCCAAGGTGAGATGATTTAGAGAAGAAACTCACATGAGAGGGAACACAATGTTCCATTCAAAGAGATTAACTGAGTTTTCCTAAGCATGTGCTCTATTTTGCAGCATTCGAGTTTCCTCAAATCAATTACCAGAAGTATGGTGGGAAACCTTATACATATGCGTATGGACTCGGCTTGAATCACTTTGTTCCAGACAGGGTAATCACTCCCTCTTACTAATATTAAAGCAGTACTCTGAGTCATATACTAGTCACAAAAAACATATTGACTGACTGACTGATCGATTTTTTTTTTCTTACAAGCAGCTCTGTAAACTGAACGTCAAGACTAAAGAAACTTGGGTATGGCAAGAGCCTGATTCGTACCCCTCAGAACCCATCTTTGTTTCTCACCCAGATGCCCTGGAAGAAGATGATGGTAATGAAAATGATGGATATATCTGAAAACTCTCTTTTTACTAGAGATCACATAGTTAGTTCATCAGGAGAGGAGTTATGTTGATTATCCCCTAATGTTCAGAAATGATCCTTAACATTACTGAATGAGACAGCACTAAAGAATTTAAACTTACTTTAAAACAAGCATCATCTTGTGGTCAGGTCTCATTGATTGTCTTGTTAATGCCAATGAATTGATTCCGACTCCCAGAGCCCCTGTGTACAACAGAGCGGAACCCTGCCCCGTCTTTTTGTGCCATTCTCTCACTTTCTGGCCTTATATCAGACAATGCTCCACTACTATTCGAAGGGTTTTCACGGCCAATTTTTTCAGGAGAGGTCCTTCTTCCTAGTCTGTCAAGTCTGGAAGCTCTGCTGAAACCTGTCCAGCATGGGTGACCCATCAACCATGGGTGACCCTGGAGGTATCTGAAGTCCCGGTGGCATAGCTTTGAGCAGCACAGCAACACGCAACTGCCACAGTGTGACAACTTACAGATGGGTGGTGTGGTTCCCTAACTGAGAAAGGAATCTGGACCACAGGAGCGAGAGCACTGGATCTTAACCGCTAGACCATCAGGGCTGGCCTCTCATTGATTACTAGTGGAAAAGATGCACCATCTGGTGTCATGATGGAACACCAATGACTGCTCTAGATGAGGGAGAGAAGGAGGAAGAAAGAGCACCATGAATTCTAGGTTTTTGGTTTTCCTGACCTAGATAGATGTCTGAAAAAGGATAGAGTTCTAAGGACAGAAATTGAGTATTCTAACAGATCACAGAGGCTGAGAAGGCAGCTTTGTGACTCTGGTTTGGTTATTTTTAGTAAGCTGGGGCTAGAAAGGGATCCAGAGCCACAACTCCCAGCTAGGTCTTGGGAATTAAAGAAATAATATACCTACTGTTTTCAAAGTCTTCACGATATAGATTTTGTGTTTGACTGTCACAACATTTTTTTTTTTTTTTGCGGTAGGTAGAGCAGGTGTTAAATCTTATGTTACAGATGAAAAGGCAGATCCATTCATTCAAGAGGAATTTAATGAACACCTGCATGTTCTGATCACTATAATGGGCTACTGGGATATGACAGTGGGCAACACAGATATGGTCACTCCCTGCCTAGAGCTTATAGTCTAGGGGACACGCAGAGTTTAAAAGATCCCTTTAGGTTGGTCATACAGCCAGGTGGTGGAAGAGTCAAAACAAGACATCGAGTCATGTGGCTTTCTTCATTTGTCAATGTAATAGTGCCTGTGTTATTTCAATGACATTTCATCTATGGCCCTGGGCTTTTTTTAAATTCACCCTTGCCTTATTTCCTTCCGATCAACAGGTGTAGTTCTGAGCGTGGTGGTGAGCCCTGGGGCAGGACAAAAACCCGCTTACCTCCTGATTCTGAATGCCAAGGACTTGAGCGAAGTCGCCAGGGCTGAAGTGGAGATTAACATCCCTGTCACCTTTCACGGACTGTTCAAAAAATCCTGAGCACATTCTAGCAAGATATGTTTCTGGTGACAAAACCAAGGAAAACAGTCAGAACTACAATCAAATTCTGTCCAATTTTAGCCTGCTGTAATATACGGTTTTAACACGCAGACACACAATTTTGCAATGTTTTACAGAAAGCACAGAGTTGAGCAAGCAATTCCTTTAAAAAAAAATACATATTTAGATAATTACACTTCTCTATGAGACAAACAGACCATAACTAAAAACCTCTTTATATATTTAGCAATTAGCAAATGAATTTGGATCTATTAAACTATTTTTTACTCTCATTATAAAATTGTATTTTAGGTACCTATCTGCTCCAATTATTTTTTAACATTTAAAAGCCAAGGTCCTCTACTCCTGATTTGTGTGTGGCTTTGCTGAATCAAGGCAGTATCATGCAAAAAAGCCTAATTACTAAATGTCAGCCAAACTTCTTCTCAACCCAGCAACTATCATCTAACAGTAATCACAGAAATTGTATGCATATATAAAAGTGCTGAAAAATTCTCAAGCTGTGTGAACTTTAACATTTCCATTTAATTTAGGTAATTACTACTTTTTCTGATTTTACTATAAGGAAACCTATCTCTAATCAACTGAGGGCTCTCAGCCAAATAACATCTCAGAGATTATTTATTAAAAACTTGTGTAACATCAAGGCAATTACATATAGTGGTGACTATAGTTTTTTGGAAAACAGTGCATAAATACAAAAAGAATTTCTTCTTAAATTAGGGTCTAGAATTCTATTTGGGGGTTATACTTTGTCGCCTCTTCTGTTTGATTATATTTAAGCACTGCAGTCACCTGACCGAAGAGGAAGAGAGAGAAAAAGAGGAAATATTAAATTATTAACATTCAGATATTAATACATTTTAAGCACTGTCATTTTTAAAATTATTCTCTTTGGTGCAACGTCTTGCAAAAAAATGGAAATTGACAAAAAACTGTATTCTATACCTTAATCCTGGTACCTATTTTATGCTCAAAAGTATTAACATATCCTTATAGTTAAGAGGCTCGGCACTTTGTTTGACTAAGTAAAAATACTTTGAAGGAACAAACTGACTAGAGTACTTCATGCCTCTTTCTGATTTTCTTATTTAGATAAAATGAAAACTCATTTTTTTAAATCATCAATACTCATTAAGATATACTTTTCAAAGGAAATCTAAAATTTCAGAAAAGGGGAAATTATACAGTAAAATCATACAGAGCTCACCTAAGCTCAACTATTATTAAGATTTGGGTACTGGTCTTTTCCATCCTTTTCCTCCTGTGGGTCTTTAAAATAGCCATTAAATTTCTTTATGGAGAACCCCTAGATAGAACTAGAAATCTCAAAACAGAAAAGGAGAACTGCCAGAGAATGCCATGGAATGAATATGTGACTGTAGATAAACACCAGTCGCTTGTTTTTTCTCTCCAGACATGGCACATGAGCCTAACTCCACAAAGAAGGCTATTTACCTGCTTTTTTAAGAAATGCAGAAAATAAATTACTGAACAATTACTAAGTTTTATACTCAATAAAGTCTCCAAATTAAGAGAATTCCTGAAACTTCCACTTCCTAGCCTTGCCAGTCACCCCGCCTCCCTCGCACGAGGTTTCCATGAAGCAGGCCTGCGATTCGACGGGCTCACCCACCTCCTTTGGTGGGATCCCGTTCCCAGCGCTGCGCTCTGCGGTGGCCACTACAGCGTTAAGAAGGGAGAGAGGCAGACACGACTAAAATACACTCTGCCAATGCCAGTTCACCCAAATTGGAATTCTCTACGCAATCATTGCTAATATTGTACCAAAAAGGCTTAGGAGCTGCTTCTCAAGTCCAAAGATGGAACATGAGCTTTAAAAACTTAAATTAAGAGGGATTAACTTGGACTGAAAAAAATTAAGGACCCTGCTTTCTAGAAACCAGAGCTACGCATTTGGGAGAACTAGAGAACCGTGCCCCATCTATAAACAAATAAATCTATTTTAAGGAAAAAACTCAGTTGAATTAAGACAAGTAAACCTGTTAATAAGTAGTTGTTTTTAAAATAACAAGTTGGTGTCAATTTTTTTTCCACTTTGGGCACCTTAAATTTGTCAGAGACAAGGGGAAAGGATAATAAAACCTGTGACAACATCATGAAATGTAATTAATAACTGATAACTGTCTCATGGCAGACAATCCCTGCTCTGTGTTCTAAAGCAGGAAAGACCAACAGACAGCAGAGGCAGCCGACCTGCTGAGAATTCTGTGGCAGTGTTACTCCATCAGCCCACGGTCTAGTTGAAGAATAAAATGCAGTGCTTTCTTCTGTAAACCTGATAGGAGGAGCATCAGCGATTGGGGTTATACAGAAAAACACTCCCTAAGGGATCTTCTAAGGTACTCCAACTCTGGTAAAATTCAGCGTCAATGGGAAAACCATTTCTGAAAGAGAGGAGGAAAGGAAACACACTTGTTGAGTGCCCTAGTCTTTTACAGAAAAGCAGAAATTACTCCTAATACTACACCCATCATGGTGCTATCTTCACCATTTTAAAGATGAGGAAAGGGAGACCAGCTTACTTTTCTAATGAGTAGCAATACTGAAACCCAAACTAACAGTTCCCCCACTGAAAATTTGGTTTCTGATACCTTCTGAAATATTCCTACTCATTTAAATTTTTATTTCAAATATAACCACTATGATACTACCTAGTCATCAACTCTGGGTGCAAATAAAATCTTTGTACAGGAACTCTTACTATTGATTAGCAGGCCAAAATGTTCCTTGACTAATAGTCACCATGTGTACCAAGTATTTGTTATGTAGGAATTCCACTTATTTGTCCCTATAAAGCCCTGTGTGAAGATTTGACGATCCTATTCTGCAGGTGAGGGAAATGAAGCTCAACAAAGTTAAATAACTCGGCCAAGCTTCCAGGGAATGAGGACCTGACTCCAAATACCATCTGTGTCTGTTGGACACTGTGAACTATTACCGTGAGGTGCTTCATGATTTCAGCATTAGATCACTACATTCCTTTTGATGACATCTTAAAAGCCCAGGTTTTCAGAGGTTGCTGTGAAAAGGCAACTACCATGCAAAAATTAATGTAGAACACAAAATGATAAGGGTCATGTCCAATGTGATTTCAAAGTTTGAGAACTTATGCAATGCCTAAAAGGCACTAAACTATTAGACCAAAGATATGCACTATCTCATTTGGAGTCAACTACTTAATAAACAGAAGTGTTAGATATTTCTTTTGGAGTGCCATAAAAAAAGTACTGAGACACTAAGGGCTTTATGAACCAAGGAAGTTTGAGAACCTGTGTTCAAGACTGTGGCTTTTAACTCAATCAATAAAATTCTAACCTTATAAGACCAAGTCTGGAGGGCTGTGATTTAAATAAAATCATAAATTCATCTTCTGAGCAAATCATTTTATATCAATTCTTACATTAATGTTATATTAAAGGGATTTACTTAAGAAAAAAATAAGAAAGTTGAAAGAATCATATCTAATATTTCTGTGACTAGTTTGTTTTATGGACATTTCTTGTTCTAATATATTCATAATATTATCCTAGATGAATGATAAATATGTTTAGGAAGCTAGCAACAGAAATCTCAAAACTTACTCTTTCCCAAGTTCCTTTAACTTGGATTCATCCATATGCATATCTTCTTCTCCTTCCAGAAGGTGAGCAAAGGGGTATCTCCCATCTACAAGAGCAATCCTTGCACTGGGCCGTAGGAATAAGATTTCAGGATCAAAAGATTTCCCACACTAAGGAAGAAGCATTGCTAAGTGTTAAGGAATTATGTGAACAGTGCATTTATAATAGATTATTAATGACCAAATAATCCAAAAAGCAAAGAACATGCATAATGGCTGAAGCTATTATAAACCAAGAGTTGAATAAATATTTAAAAGCTTAGGGGGCCAGCCTGGTGGTGCAGCGGTTAAGTGTACACATTCCACTTTGGCAGCCCGGGGTTTGCTGGTTCAGATCCCAGGTGCAGACATGGCACCGCTTGGCAAGCCATGCTGTGGCAGGCATCCCACATATAAAGTGGAGGAAGATGGGCACAGATGTTAGCTCAGGGCCAGTCTTCCTCAGCAAAAAGAGGAGGATTGGCAAGAGGTGTTAGCTCAGGGCTAATCTTCCTCAAAGAAAAAAAAAAGAAAAGAAAAGCTTAGATGTTATGGCTAAGCTAATGTGAAATGTAGAAGAGAGTTAAAGATTCTTCTTGACCATGACTGGACATGAGTTTGTATTTCAATGGTATAATAGAAAATAGGACTAGACCTGACCTTGAAAGGTTTGAGGGATGTATACACAAAGCACCTAACACAGTGCCTGGCACAAAGTAACTACGCAACAAATGGTAGCTAGTATTTTCAATTTGGAGTTTCAACAAACTTAATAGCTTTCTTCGTCACATGATTTGTTAGGTTTTTTAATACTTAATGAGTTTTATGATACTCTACAAGGGACAAAGTATTTAAAAATCTCAATTTTGTACAAAGACAGAACCATTTGTTATTGTAACATATCATGAAACACCTGTCCCCAAAACACTGGGAATGAGGATCCAGTGCTTTTAAATTAAGATGTTAATTGTAATCCCCAGGACAACCACTAAGAAAATGACTCAAAATATATAGTAAAAGAAACAACAGGGGAATTAAAGTAGTATACTAGAAAATATTTATTTAACATAAAAAAACACAATAATGGAGGAAAAGAGGAACAAAAAAGACAAAAGACGTACAGAAAATAAATATCAAAATGACAGACAAAAATCATATCAGTAATTACATTAAATATAAACTGATTAAATTTTCTAATCATCAGGCAGAGATTGGAAGAATGTATTTTTAAATGATTTAATTATATTCTATTATAAGCAACACATTTTAGATTCAAAGGCATAACTAGGTCAAAAGTATAAGGATGGAAAAAGATATGCCATGCAAAAGGTGACAAAAAGAGAACTGAAATGGCTATACTAATATCAGACAAAATAGACTTTAAGACAGAAATTGTTAGAGACAAAGAAAGACATTTTATAATAATAAAGAGGTCAATCCATCAGGAATATATAGGTGACTACTATGAATACCTCTATGCCAACAAATCAAATAACCTAGATGGAATAGATAAATTCCTAGAAAGACACTAACAACAAAAACTGACTCAAGAAGATATCGAAAATATGAAGATGCCAATAAGAAGTATAGAGATTGATTTAGTAATTTTAAAACTTCCCAAAAGAAAAGTCCAGGCCCAAGTGGCTTCACTGGTGAATTGTACCAAACATTTAAAGAAGAATTAATTATCAATCCTTTGCAAACTTTTCCAAAAAGTAGACATGAAGGAAATACTTCCCAATTCATTCCATGAGGCCAGTATTACTAGACAAAGACATCAAAAGAAAACTACCAACCATTATCACTTATGAACTTATATGTAAAAGTCTTCAATAGAATACCAGCAAACCAAATTCAACAACATATGAAGAGAACTCTACACCATGAGTGAGTGGGATTTCTCCTAGGAATTCAAGGTTGAATTGAACAGTTTGGTTTAACATTCAAAAATCAATCAATATAATGCACCATATGAATAGAGTAAAGGACAAAGCCATATGATCATCTTAGTAGATGAAGATAAAGCATTTAAAAACATTCAATAACCATTCATGATTTTAAAAAGAAAAAAACCTGTTATGAATAGAAGGGAATTTCCTCATCCTAAGCACCCTTCCCTCCACCCACCCAGAGAGGCTCCAGCACCAGGGATCTCAGCTGAAGGCAGAGGGCTCAGAATACGTGGCTCTTGAGCACCACCTGGTGGCAATAGGTGATAACTGAGACCAAATAACACCAGGATGTGAAAAAACAGAGCCACTCCCTCTAGCAATATCAAACACTATATTAGATCTCCAGACCAGAGAGAAAATGGCAAGTACCCAGAAATCAGTCCTGAGGACACAGGAATATGTAATCTAAATGACAAAGAATTCAAAATAGCTATCATCAAAAAACTCAACAAGTTAAAAGAGAATGTAGAGAAACAATTCAATGAGTTTAGGAGCTACTTCACAAAACAAATTGAAACTATAAAGAAGAAGCAATCAGAAATATTAGAGATGAAAGACACAGTGGAAGAAATAAAACAAAACATGGATTCCCCGAATGCTTGCACAGACATCATAGAGGGGCGCATCAGCATAATAGAAGATAGACATGTTGAAATGCTCCAGATAGAGGAGGAGAGAGAACTAAGACTAAAAAGAAATGAAGAAAGTCTCCGTGAAATATTCAACTCAATTAGGAAATGCAACATAAGAATTATAGGTATTCAAGAAGAAGAAGAGAAGGAGAATGGAGCAGAAAGCTTGTTCAAAGAAATAATAGCAGAGAACTTCCCAAACCTAGGAAGGGAGATGGAAATCCATGTGGAAGAGGCTGTCAGATCTCCTAAATATGTCAATGTAAAAAGACCTACTGCAAAGCATATAGTAGTGAAAACTGGAAAAGTAAATGACAAAGAAAGAATACTAAGGGCAGAAAGGCAGAAGAAAATAACCTACAAATGAACCCCTATCAGGCTTTCAGTGGATTTCTCTGCAGAAATCTTACAGGATAGGAGAGACTGGAATGACATATTTAAATCTTTGAAGGACAAAAACTTTCAGCCAAGAATACTCTGTCCACCAAAAATATCCTTCAGATATGATGGAGAAATAAAAACTTTCCCAGACAAACATAAGCTAAGGGAGTTTGTAGCCACGAGAACCCCTCCCACAAGAAATCCTCAAGAAGGCCCTCATACCAAAAAAAAAAGGGGGGGGGTACAAAGGGTTTATAAAACATGGAGTAAGGAGATAAATAGGTAGACAGAATCAGGGCAGGATAGCAAATACTCAAGTATAGCATTAAAGACAAAGGGAAGGAAAACACAAAAAACAAAGTAATCTTGTCATTTTAACCACAAACTTGTAACACAAGATGGAATAAGATGTGAGAAAAACAACTTAGGAGGGGAAGAGTATAGGGACTGAATCGGTTTAGTCTAAAGAAATTAGAGGCCATCACAAAAGGGACTATCTTATCCATGAGATTTTGAATACAAACCTCATGGCAACCACCAGACAAGCAGAACAGAGACACAAATAATACATAAGGAGAAAACAAAAAAACACAACATAAAAAAACTACATAACTTGACTGGTAGACCAAAAAACACAGGATGAGAAACAAAGGAAATGCAAGAGTACGAGAAAACAAATGATAAAATGGCAGCATCAAGCCCTCATATATCGAAAATCATCCTACATGTAAATGGATTGAATTCTCCAATAAAAAGACAGAGAGTGGTGAGATGGATTAAAGAACAAGACTCAACAATATGCTGCCTCCAGGAAACACATCTCAGCTCCAATGACAAACACAGGCTCAGAGTGAAGGGATGGAAGATGATACTCCAAGCTAACAGCAAACAAAAGAAAGCAGGTGTTGCCATACTTATATCAGACAAAGTAGACTTCAAGATAAGACAGGTAAAGAGACACAAAGAGGGGCAGTATATAATGATCAAAGGGACGCTCCACCAAGAAGACGTAACACTTGTAAATATCTATGCACCCAACACAGGAACACCAAAGTACATATAGGAACTAGTAACTATTAACTAAGCAACTATTAACGTACCTAAAGCACACAAATTGAGAGGTTGTGAGTGTTTAGGAGAGGAAGGTACGGGGGTGTCTTGCCAGAGGCAGGAACTGTTCAGAGCCTCACACCTGGCTCCTACTGACAGAGATGAGTCCTGTAGAAGAGCAGTCTTCATTTGAGGCCACTGGCACTCTCTTGAGCCTTGCTGATGATGGTTGCAAAGGATGGTCTTACTCCAAGGCTGGGCACTTTCTTGACCCCTACCAAATGGCAGCCTCAAGTAAGGGTCATCTTACTCACTCACTCATTTTCTATGTATTAGGCACTTTTCTAAGCATTTGCCATGCATTAACTTATTTAATCCCGATGATTAAATGAAGCAGATATTACTTCATTTACAAATAAGGAAACTGAAACAGAGAGACATTAGTGAACTTGTCCAGTAGCTGTTAAACAGCAAAGATAGAATTTGTACCAAGGCAATCTGGCTCCAGAGTCTATGAGTTTAACTACACTACAGTTAACATTTCAGTTGATTAAACAGGCCTGGGAAAATGTTATGATTTCTCTCGTCTATTTACTTACAGAGCCAGGACTAGATCAGACCCCAGGATTCTCAATATTCCCTGTTTTCTTTGCCATCGCCACATCTTCCCTGATAACAGTGTTATTAAAGCTGTGACTACCTTTACCTTTGATGTCAGAAGTAGTTCTAAGTGCAGCACCACACCAGGGGAGAAGTTGAAATCAATATTTCTATCAACTTTCTTGGACTGTTCATGGAATCAAGACACCATTTGGAATTGCTCCTGTACTGTTTAGTATTTGGGAAAACAAGAAAACTCATCTTATGTGACCCAGGATTCAAAATATCTCATTACCATGGCATCGCTTTCACTGCCAAAACCACCACCGAGAACCAGAGTTATCCTGGGTACAACTGCACAGGCAACTGCGGCCATCACGGAAGCCTGGGTGCTCAGCCTTCTGGCAAGATCTTCTGCTGCAAGGAGGATATATTTAAGAAAGAAATTATGCTACAAGGCCTCCCCTTCTGATAAATCATCATGGCCCATCATTGGGCCAAAGGCAAAATAAGTAGATAAAAGCAAAACACAAAAATTATTAAATGAAAAACAAATCCTTAGCATTAACAATAAAAAGAAAATTAAAGAACACAGAAGATAAGGGCATGAGTTAGAGAAGATGATGAAAAAAAAACTCTATATCAGTTGAGGATTGTAGAAAGGACGTCATTTAGGAGCCATGCCTGGAATATGTAATATGGTTAACTTTAATACACAGTGCCATAAATAACCATAGAATAATAAAATCTGAAGTAGCCACCGTTTACTGAGCTCTTCCTATGTGCATGTTAAGGGATTTACATGGCTTTGCATATTTAATCCTCCTAACAAGCTGGAGAGATTGGTATTGTTTTTATTTTCCAGCAGATGAAATTGAAGCTCAGAAAGACTAAATAACTTCCCACTGATAAGACCAGAGTTTGAATCTGGATCTATTTAGTTTTATAAATCTTGTGATCTTACCCTCCATAGAAACATGAAGAACATTCTCCAGAGGGAAAAAAGTTAAATCTTTAATATAACAGTGCTGTCACGATTTTTTTTACTATTAGTTAGGAACATATCTAATTCTTCCAGAGACTAAGTAGCAAGGTGACTTAGACACTATATGATGCTAGAGCTAATAAAAAGAGACATAAAATGTAAATATTAACTCTGCTTTTAATAACAAATCCATTGGGGATTTTTTTCTGTAACAGCCTCTCAAAGAAAATTAAACTAAGCTTCAAGCAGGAATGGAAATGTCTGCTTTGCTCATTGTTTATCTCCCACTCCCGTCACAAAGCCGGGTAAACTGAAACCACTCAGTCAATATAATATTTGGTGAAGGGATCAATGCTACAAGATTGCACTGATGTCAAGTCAAAAGTATCAGAAACACTTATTTTGCTGAACTTTTAAATAGAAAATGCAGAAAACCCATTGACTGGGCTTTTTGGATAGCATTTTAAAAGTCCATTGTGACATACCTGTGAGAGATTTGCTACGTGTTGATGGTATGGGGCTGCATTCAGGAGAAACAGAATCGGGATGTTTCTGTGACTACACAAATTGACCAAGTGGGTCCCTGTAGACAAGCCTGGTATGCTAATTCACCATCATTGGCCACTATTCCAATCAGATGTCTTGTGAAAGAAAAACACAAAATCACTACTTAGTCTTATGCATTTCCTACTTCTGTTCTTACTGTTACCAATAGTTTTAAACATGCATGATGAGTCTTCACTCATGAATAAGCTGTGTAAATCTGCATGCCCCCTTCTGTCAATCATGGAAAAGCAACAGGAGAACAACAAAAAACCCTGCATGCTCAATTTTAAGTAAAATATATAAACTGCAGACTCTAAAATCAGCATAGGGCTAATAAAAGTAACTGGGATGAAGCATAAGGAGGAAGTGAAAGAAAAAGTGGAGAGTAGACAGAGGTCCCGGTACTCAAAACATCACCAGTCCGTCGCCACGGCTTGTACGGTAAGCACAACACTTGCAAAAACTAAGGTACGAAGGGCTCATGGCCTAAGTCTTCCTAGCTATGTCTGGTAAAATCAGCTAAAAAGGTAGAGCTACACAAAGAGTCGCACAGTCAAGCCGCGATTGCAGGAAGCTCTCTCTGAAGGGGCAGCAAAGAAGAGGGTTCAGGGTACGAAGCTGGAATGCGACTCCAGCTCCTCTGCCAACTCTACTCAAATGCACAAAAATGCATCCCCGCAAACTGGTGATCAAGGAAAATCCAACTCGATAATCAATAAGTATATTAGCTTCCTAGGCCTGCCATAGCAAAGGACCACAAACGGAGTGGCTTGAAATAACAGAAGTGCCCTGTCTCAGAGTTCTGGAGGCCGGAAGTTTGAAATCAAGTTCTGAGCAGGGCCGTGCTCCCTCTAACCTACGGAGGGAGCCCTTCCTTGCATCTTCCCAGCTTCCAGAGCCCCAGGCATTCCTTGGCTTCTGAGAGCATATCTCTGATCCTCAGTCTTCAGACGGCATTTTCCCTGTGCATCTTTCACATTATCTCCCCTCTGTGCGGGTCTGTCTCTGTGTGTCCAGATCTCGCCTTTTCATCAGGACACCATCATACTGAACTAGAGCCACTCTAATAGCCTCATTGTAACTTGATTACCTGGTAAAGACCTATTTCTAAATAAGGTCACATTCAGAGGTACTAGGGGTTAGGACTTCACCATATCATTTGAGGGGATATAATTCAATTTATAACAACGAACACTAAGGAGAGACTGGCACGACAGTGAAACAAGAAAAAAAAAGTGGAAAGCACAGCAAAACTTTGCCAAGAAGTGAAAAAACTCACCATAAAAGGTGCCATGGAGGGACCAGCCCTGTGGCGTAGTGGTCAAGTTTACACACTCCGCTTCAGTGGCCCTGGATTCACAGGTTTGGATCCAAGGCACGGACCCAGCACTGCTCGTTAAGCCATGCTGTGGCAGCATCCCACATAAAATTGAGGAAGATTGGCACAGATATTAGCTCAGTGACAATCTTCCTCACACACAAAAAATGGTGCCATGGAGTAAATGACAGTTAAAAAGACACGTGAGATTTCCATGAAGAACACTTTAAAACACTACTGAAAGATGAGACAAAATCAAAGGAAAGCCAGAGGGCAGAACAAAGATAGAAAAAATTAATGAACCTGTGTATCAGAGACTTCTGTGCCCAAGTGACAGAACCTCTGGATGTTAGAGGGGAAGGGCTGCCCAAGGTAATGATGCCAATTCTCAGCATCCCTTGCAGCTTTGTGGAACTTCTGGACAATGGGATGTGAGCACAGGCTGGGATTCAGTCTCACCCTTAACAAGAAGTAGGTGACATCCTCCCCTCCCTCTTTGTTCTTTCCTACCCGCTGCAGTGAGGACATGGTACAGAGACACTTTGGACCCTGCAGATGAAGGCAAAAGGCTAGGCCTGGAGGAGCAGCAAGATGGAAAAAGAGTGTGTACAATGTTGAAACTCGGCCGCACAGGCCCAGGTACCAGGACAGCACCTGCGGACCCAGCCTCCAAGCCAGCACTCATGGCCCCAGGCTCCAGGCCCCTCCTAGTGCTAGACCAGTCCCTGCAGCCCCCAGGCTCCAGTGGACCCAGGGTTATTTTTATATTTACAATGACTACCCATACTTTTATATAAGTATATATTTATATATACTGATATATTGATATATTTTATATGATCTGGTATATCACATAACAGTGTATACATATATAAATACATATATAATTGTTTATAAAAAGGAACTTGAATACTAATAAAAAATATTGTGAGATATCTCATTGGGGAACTGAGATTCAGTAAAACTAAGGCAGGGATGGTGTCTGAAATACAGTGATAGGTAATTTTGTAGTTTTGTAGTTATTCTCAAAGGGAATTCATTTAAATTCATTTAAATCAATGTATCTGAGATATTGAAGATTACCAAAGCATTAATCAATCATTACATTATTCTATCTTTTCTTTTTGGCGCTTATCAAATGTCAAATTGACGTTTTTAAAGACATAAACAACAAATGTAGATGAGCCCATCTGACAAACAAGACCAAATACTATTTTCAATGTTAAAAGTAATTACTCTAAAATATAAATTCAGGATTCTTTTAAGTGCATATTCACTTTGATGCGAAGAAGATTAAATATTATTTTGGAAGAATAAAGCCATTTTTGCTTTGGTTATGCCAAAATTATTTTTAAACTAAAATGCACATGCATTTAATTTTTTAAAAGAAGGTTATAGTTACACTAATGTGCCTTTTTGCTTATTTACCAAAACTATCTTAACATTCTGATCTAAAAAGTTCATGACAGGAAGCAGAAAGTATGAAGTTTATGGGCTGGGGAACATTCTCATGAGTAACTCATTTTTCATTTAGGTTATGGTTAAGAAAGCAAGTGAAGAACGCAAAAGTGGGTAACATTTCACTTCAACATCCAGCACAAACTCCTCGCCCATATTTACTTTGCAGTGAACAAGAACCTTTTAACTTCACTCCAGTCTTGTCCCCTTCCGAGTCATCTTTTGCTCTCACATCACAGTGAGATGGTTCCTCACTGCACTCAGGATCAGGTGCAAGAATTCCCAGCATCATGATCTCCCCCACAGCCTACCTCCGTAGCCTCATCTCTCAAATGGTAAGTTTCCGCAACATCGTGATTCTTGTAGTTTCCCTTAGTGACCTTGTTTGTCTTGCCTCTTGCTTTTGCTCATGCTGCCTCTCTGCCTGAGAAGCCCAATCCCACCCATCCCTATGCATTTCCTTACTCAACTGTTAATACTCATCATCAGCATCACCTTCTCCAAGAAGCCATTTGTGACATACCCAACAAGCCATCCATAATACACACACACATATATCCTCTTATTAGATGACTCTTCTTTTTGTTCCCATATGCCCCATGCATCTTTCTGCTAATGCATCTACCTATTGTTTTATAATTATTTGTTTCTCTGCCTGTCTTCTCCAGTGGACTATAAACTCCTCAAAAGTAGAATCCATATTTTATCTTTATGTCTCAGGAGCTAGTACAGTGGCTGGTACTTAATAGGGACTTAAATGTTTGTTGGATGAGTGAATAAATGAAGAAGTGAATGAAGACCAAATCACGATTTATACCTATAAAGGAAAATCTCACTTAAAATTTTAAGTGTAAGTTTCTTGACCTTAAATATACATGACTATTTCCAAAGACCAAGTATGTAAGACGTTAAGACATTGACAAGGTTGTCAACATCAGTCTCTAAACAGAGACTCAGTCTCCACTTGCTATTCTCTGGTCATGAGAGTTGCTAATAGTCCATATTTTGGTATATTTCAACGTATTAAGGAATCCTAGGTTCCTAAGAAAGTAGTGTTAGAACACTAAGCAGTAGCATCTAAGAAAACAAAAGATTAGGGGTCGTGCCTGTGGCCAGGTGGATAAAGTTCCACACGCTCCACTTTGGCAGCCTGGGTTTGCAGGTTCGGATCCCGGGTGCAGACATACTCCATGGATCAGCCACACTGTGGAGGCATCCCACATACAAAAAATAGAGGAAGACTGGCACAAATGTTAGCTCAGGGCTAATCTTCCTCAAGCAAAAAAAGAGGAAGATTGGCAATGGATGTTAGCTCAGGGTGAATCTTTTTCATCAAAAGAAAAGAAAAAGAAAAAGTTAGAGTTTAAAAATCCTAAGAAGCGAATTGACTTTCAGATGACATTAGCCATTTTCACTGTGATTATAGTTACAGCTTTCATGGTAGAGCCGTTCCAGAGCCATTGCACTTTTCATTGGAACTAAGCAGGCATTGTCTAAACACCCACGAAATCTAGAGCAGGAGGCCTCCAGGAAGGTGCGATGACCCCAGGGGGATTTTGGAAATAGGTGAGGCACACTGGGTCATCAGAAAGACGGAAAAGGGACACACTGATGACATTTTTAAGCCAATCCAGAGAAGCCAGTTTTCCTATAATCTGGGGGACAATTTGATCAAAGAATAACTCCATACTTTTCGGCACTTCCACTGTCCTGCTAGGCACCTAGATGAGTGAAAAACTTGCTCATAATTGTTAGATCCTAGAACGTAACTCAACTTTACATTTAAACCTCATATTTTTTTCTTGATGTTAATATACATGGAAATTTCCAGGAATATATAACCATATGTAATGAGGGAAAGTTATCCACTATTGGGTTCAAATTTTGACTGTCAGCCATTTCATGTGATTATGTCACTGATGACAAAACAACTTTGAGTCACTAAGGCAGCAAAGCTATGTGAGTTTGCGTTTGTGGCGATTCTGCATAAAAGTGCAGGTTTCCAGGCACTCGTCATGTGTTCTAACGGAGGTGTGCCCCTGTGTTTACTACTGAAATGCATATCATTTTCTCAAAATTTGCTTTTCACTTTTTCTCCTTCATATTATAATAGGATATTATTATATTATTTTTTAATTATGTGTACAATTAGATTATATCACCTAACTATTTCACTTCAGGTTAGTAAACATGATGTTACAAAAGCCATGACATTAAAAAAAAAAAAATGTTCTATAGAAAGATTTTTTGAGACTGTGAAGATTAAGAAATTTGCTCCGGAGTACTGGTGTCTGATAGAACTTTCTGCAATGACAGAAATGTCCCGTATCTGCACTGTCCAGAGCAGAAGCACGAGCCACTTGTGGCTACTGAGCACTTGAAACATGGCTAGTGTGACCGAGGAACTGAATTGTTTAATTGGCATCTTTATAAGCAAAGAAACCCAACCTCAGCATCCTCTTAAGGATCCTGGGAAGGATAAATGGGGTCATAACAAAGGAAAGTAATGGACGTGTCCGGACCAATTCAGAGGGCCCTGGGTGAGGATTTCGGGTTTGATCTGCTAAGATGTAGTGAATCCTTGTTGATTTTTCAACATATGAATCAAATTATTTGTATAGTGCCAAGCCACATTCAGCCTACTCTCTTTCTCATTATCGTTGGGACCATTACCAGATAGTTAATTTTTAACAGGAAAAATACAGATGAAACCTTATAGTAGAATCTTTCCTACAGCTATAAATTATCGTTGAAAATTCCCATTGCCACAGAATAAAGAAGAATATATGCACATCACTAAAGCACGTGTAGGAAATAAACAGTGCCTCTTTGGTGATCCAGATTTTGATTATATATCTGAAAAGAACCACACTGGCATTGTGTTGAATGCTTTGACCGGCTACATAATTTAAGTCTCCTACACAGTAGCTACATTGGTTATCTGAAGGAATGATACTCTGAAATACGAATGAGAGAAGATATTTGCACAAAATTTCAGTGCTCTAGAACACGAGGGAGCTGTTTCTCCGTGTGTGGATGGTGTGAGAAGCCTAGGGCAGTTTCTCCTCCATCAAGGGGTGAGGAGCTAGGGGTTAGAGATAGACTAGGGTTTGAATCCTGGCTCTGCCATTTTTGAGTTAGTTATTATGATGCCCCATTGGCAGAAAGGGGTCAATGAAATTACCTACTTTACATCTTTACTGTGAGGGTGAAACGACAGAAAGCACATAAAGAGTTCGGTGCACACCAGAACTAGCTGAGGGCTGAATAACTGTTGGCTGTGATGGTGAGAGCGTTCATGGTGGGATAGTTGTTTTGGGGTCATATCAGATTTTCTCTCCAGCAACAGAAAAGGTTTGAGAGTCAGATGGATCTGGATCAGAATCCACATTCTTCCACATATTATCTTTGTCAACTTTGATAGTTTATTTAATACCTTCATCTGAAAAATGGGAATAATAATGGTAAATACCTTGTTTCCTTCTCTAGAAAGGAAGTACCTTGATGGGAGAGGCCCCATCTTATTATTTTTCAAATCTTGGCATACTGCCAGACTTAAGTTCTCAATAAACAGTATTTATTCACTAACTATAGACTGAACTCAAAGCCTCAAAGGACAGGAGCACAGGGGGTGCATTCTAAGGAGCCTTGCATGGCACATTTTGGGGCACATAGTAGATGCTTAATAAGTACTTATTAATTTCGGTGGAATTTTACTCATTATAAATGATCACTCTGTAAGATCTTTTGAGAGCACGTGGACTGCCAAAACATTATCTGAGGTCTATCATTCACTTTTTAGTTCTAAGAGGGGAGAATGACTACTGTATTTATAAAGAGCTTGCTAGGTTTTAAGATACAATTAATTATCATAATATAGGGTGAGGTAGATAATATTTCTGATTTGCTTATTCGCTTCTTTGTTTGTTTTTTTAATGAGTAAACCAAAGTTCAGAAAATAAGTAACTTGCTCAAATGTACTCCTCTAGTAAGAGTGGAGGAGAGGTCAGAACTCAATCCCGTCTGACTTCGAAGTCCATCCTGTTCTACCATCCTACACTGCATCGAAACTAAGCAAAGATAAAAGAAAGACAAAAACGCAACCCAGTTAAAAGGGTATTATATTATATTAAAGGAAACTGAAATAGGCTCTTGTTAATGTCTACATCTGCTCCTACCTATCAGTGATTTCGTGTCCCTTCAAAGTAAACTAGGCAGCAGAATGTAGAGGAGCAGCGTCAGAACCCCTAAGTGCTAGCCTGTTTTCCTTCTTATAAGCTATGTGATCTGAAGCGAGCCACTTACACAAACTGCTCCGATGCGAAGTTTGTCCACAAAGTTGGAAGAATCCAATCGGCCCTATCAAACCTTCCAAGATAGTTGTTGGACATGTAAGCTGAGGAGAAGGATCTAAAGTAAGGCACTGATTCAAATAATGTCACTTTTAGTTTTGAGAATAATAAATAGATCAATTAGCAGTGGAGTTAAAAATCAGAAACTTCATGAACAAATTAAAGGCAAACACCAAAGAAATGAACTCACTTTCACTCCGGTTACTGAAAGCAGCTTTTGTCATCCACACAGGTTGCTCGGGAAACCACTGTAAGTGGATTACAAATCCCTTGACTGTCGGCTCTGCTCACAACCACCACACACACACACACACACACACACTTCACATTGTTTCCCTAACACAGATTCACTTCACAGAATGTTCCTAGGAGTGGTCCCAAAGGGGTTTTGAACAAAGACTAAAAGGTCGAGGGGGCCTGCTGGGAAAAGGAAGAAGAAACAGGGCCCCACAGATCCGAGTTCACCCATTTCCTGCAGTCACAGGAAAGGTTTGTCCGACTCCAGCAATGGCAGCCAGGAGGAAACACCGCTCCTCAGACAGGAGCAACAGGAGAAACTCTGTGCATCTGCAGAAGAAAAGGCCCTCCCCTGAAGGATTCATTTGGAAGCCATCATGGAAACGAAAGCTCTTTAAGCCCAGGTCACTCACCATTTGAAAAGAACTTCTGATTCTAGGAAACTCTGTGCAGTCGGCAGGGCAAACATTCTTTGTTTATTCAACCCTTTCACCCAGCTAATATTTATTGAGCCACCACTATGCTCCAAGTGCTGTCTAAACCAGTGGAACTTTCCATGATGATGGAAATGTTCTATTCTGCATTATCCAATGCTATAATCACTGGCCACATATGGCTATTGAGCAATGTGGTTACCATGACTGAGAAACTGAATTTTTAATTGGCTTTTTTGTAAACAAGGAAACTCAATCTCAACAAGCAAATTATCTTCTTTCACCAATAGCTCTTCTCCCTACCTCCACCCTCTCTTCTTAAGGATCAAAGCACAGCCCTGAAGCCATTCTCTTTGCCTGAGCCTTGCATGGATTTTCATAAGCGTCCATGTGGATGGCCAACTTGCTCTAACTAGCTCAGAAAACTCCCCTTTCATACCCCCAAGACGGGTATGCCTGCCCCTCAGGATACATGTCTAGCTTCCATATTCGGTAACATCAAGACTGGTTTGTCTCATTGTCTACCAAGCTCAATATTTCCAGTGTGGTGCTGACCATACTCTGGAGAGTTGATCACATACTTAGACAGGTGAGGCATAAATCTCCAGGAGCCAGCAAATCAAATTTCCCTGAAAAATGCATGTTAGGAGGAGGAGAAAGAGAACTAGCTAAACTAAGAAACTACCATGTGATGGGGTTTTAAAGATGAGTGAAGAAAAAAGGAAAAAGATTCCTTATTCAGGTCTTTCCTAATCTTTTTAAGGGTACAGAACAGAGGGCAATAATACAAATATTAAGAGCTAACACTTACTAAGCACCTATCATGTGCCAGGCTCTATTGTAAGTACGTATATCATATCATTTAATCCTTCCCCAATACCTGTTTCACAGATGAGAAAGCTGAGGCATGAGGAAGTGGTGTGGCTTGCTTAAGGCCTCAGTTCTTGTGAGGATGGGAGCTGGGATGTGGACCAAGGCAGTGCGGCTCCAGAGTCTGCCCTTCAACCTCCAGATCTGCCCCTCCTCAGGTTGGAGCTGCCGCTGCCTCTCTACTAATCCTACCTCTCGTTATCCTCCCCATCTTCCTCCTCCTTCTGCTCTTACTACCACCACATCATACTGGCTCAGAGCGCAGTCTCTCAGGCCAAAGTTTCCAGACAAAAGTCCAGCATCGATACTCCTAGTACTGCCTTGGCAAGTCACTTAACTATTCTGTGCCTTAGTCTCATCCATTAAATAAGGGTGACTATGGTATCTACTTCATAACTATTCTGATTTTTAAATAAAGTAATATATATAAAAGGTTTAGATCCCGGCACAGAGTAAGAGCTCAGTATTTGGTAGTTTGTTACCATCTCAGCTTAGCTGGGTCAATTCGCAGAGTCATCTGAAAGTTTGCTTGCAGTTTATTTCAGTGGCATCTGTTTCCATTATTTCCTGAAACACCTGACCAGGGAGAATCATTAATTCTCAACCCAGCAGGCTCTGGTGTCACTCCAAAACAATCAAACCCATGAAACATGCAGACAAGAACACTGGATTTATTAAGCCAGTTGTTCTCACACCTTTCTAGAAACCCAAAATTCATCATGTTCCCAGCACATTTAAATATACCCAGTGGGTATTATTAAATATCTGTGATGATGATACATGATACAGTATAATTTGCCTCTTAATTACCATGAAAAATTTTAACTCAAGCACTGAACAATGAGCTTCCCCCGGAGAAAATGAATTTGCCTGACATAAGCAAAGTATTTTAAAGAACTGGCAGAGTGCTCAGCACAGCCTGATATTTCCTTTGAGCTGTTGAAGATGTGGATGCTGAAACAAGTTTCCCAACGCAGAACCCACTCCACCAATGGGACTGGTACTAATCTTCACGTCCTATCATTTTCTCTAGTGGAACTTAACTTGAAGTTCTGCTTCATGCACAAACATGCTTAGCGCTCTCATGTTGTTGACAGAAATAGGCTCTAGAAGAACAAGATGTAGGTCACAGTTGAAAAGATTAGCCTTGGCAAGAGGGAAGAATGCTTTGCCCTCTTGTAACTTAGCTCTACAAGAAAGATGCGTTCCTGCAAAGGAAACCTTACCCTCCCAGGTGAGCAAAGCCCATTACAAGCGTTGTTCCATATTCTGCTTCAAATTCATGGAATCAACTTCCATCTGTTAGAATCAACCAGCTCAAAATCTATAAAAGGTATATGATAATGCGCATGCATGACTCAACTAATTCAAATGTCCTTCTGATATACGTTTCAAAAATGTATTAGTTACAGTTTTAAATTGATGTGTAAGTTTATTTAATTAATGTCTGTCTCTTCCACTGCCAATAAGCTCATCTGGCATATAGTGGGTACTCCATGATTATTTGCTCAATAAATTAGTGAATGTATGAACAAACAGTTTAAAAACTGACTGTATCCAGATACTCATTCATGTGTTCATTCCACAAATATGTGTTAGTTACTCCAAAGGATACAAACTTTGGTAAGGCATTAAGCCAATGGCCAGATCCTTTGTTTTCTTGCTTTGTCAAATAATAGCAATTCTCTGCCTGTTAGAAGTTTCGGCACCTCTATGACCACCAATAATAATAGTTATCATTTTTTATCATGTACCAGACAATTTACATGAATATCTGGTTAAATTCTTACAATAACCCTGTGAAGTAACTGTTACCATCATATTCATTTTATAGATAAAGAAAAAGACCTGGAGAGTAAATAACTTACTGAAGGTCACACGGTTCTAAATGGTTGAAAGGGGATTCAAAATCAGGATCATTGAATTTCAGAGGCTGTTTTGTGACTACCATGGTTTTTCTGTTTCCCAAGAATTCACCCCTACTTGACAGTCCTTTCACAACTTCTATAAATCAAAGATCTCTTTCCTGCCATTAATTATTTCTCTTTTGCCATAGGATCCCAAGATTAGGCAGCTCCAGATTCTCAAAACTTTCTATACAACATTTTCTTTTGCCTGGGTTTTGAAATATACTAACAGAGTTTGAAGACAAAATCACATTTCCACAGGAGTCATCTACACCCATGAATTTGGCATGAGCTTGAAAATGCATCAGACTTATAACTCAAGTTAGTCTCTAACTGACTAATAGAATACAAAAATTTATTTACATCATATGTCTTCATAAAAGGAATAATTATTCCCTATCCCTAAGCTTTAACTTCTGTTGCCAAATTTATAATTCATCTAAATACTTGGCATAAGTGCACCATAATTTTTAGTGGAAATGATGAACCACTTGTCCAAGCAATCCATTTAGAAAGAAACTTACCGGGCCGGCCCGGTCATGCAGCGGTTAAGTTCACACGTTCTGCTTCTCTGCGGCCCAGGGTTCGCCGGTTCAGATCCAGGGTGCGGACATGGCATTGCTTGGCAAAAGCCATGCTGTGGTAGGCATCCCATGCATAAAGTAGAGGAAGATGGGCATGGATGTTAGCTCAGGGCCAGTCTTCCTTATCAAAAAAAGAGGAGGGTTGACAGTAGTTAGCTCAGGGCTAATCTTCCTCAAAAAAAAAAAAAAAAGAAAGAAAGAAAGAAAGAAACTCACTTTTTTTCCTTACCCATTTAATATCTAGATGAGATTCAAAATCTTGAGAGGCCAGTCCATTTAGCTCTTCTGGGCTATACAAAGGATCATCATATTCTGCAGGCTCTTCAGGTAGATATCCATAATTTAATGTGAGAAAAGTATTTGTAACCTGGTTGTGGGCTTCCTCTTCAGCAGATGCAAAATAGTCAATACCACCACTGACTCTAAATGGAAACTAATCAGGGTACAACCATGAAAAATTATAATTCAAAACGTCAAATTATAGACACAAATTTAAACCCACACATTAGTAAGTAATTATATTCTTATATACCCAGTGTATATTCTGTACATATTTTTCATCAAGAAAAATATCCTACCTGGTCTTGGCATCAGAAAGAATTGAGTTTCCCTTGAACAATTGGACTGTTTTTATCTCATGTGACTTGTAAAATTGGTTGGAATTTTTTTGCTGCTGGTTCCTAGAAAAGTTAGAATGAGGCTTGTGTCCTGGTGATTGGAAGCACACAAGATGCTGTGGTACAAGTCTTTTATAGACTCATTGCTGGTTCTAGTTTATATCCCTACCCTAACTCTGCCATTTTTTCATTTGCTTTTAATTTGTATTTCAAATAGCTTAGCAAACTGCCTTAAAATACTTAAGATAATAATTTATTCCTTCCTTTCCAATTTTTATATTTTTTCTTGCCTTATGATACTGGCTAGAACCACCACATAAGGACAAAGCAATGATAGTGAGCATTCTTGTCTTGTTCGCAGTCTCAGAGGGATGACTTTCAATAGGTTTGTTGGGTTTTTTTGTAAATACCCTTTATCAGATTAAGGTTGTTTCCTTCTATTTCAGGTTCTTAAAGAGTTTATTATGAATGGATATTGACTGTTATCAAATAATGTTTCTGTGTCTATCAACATATGATGTCTTCTATATTTTGTTGATGTGATGAATTCTGTTGATTTTCTAATTTGAATTACTAGAAATAAACCCAGGTTGGCTATATTTTGTTACTCTTTTTATAAATCCCTGGATTTGGTGTCCCAATATCTTATTTAGGATTTTTGAGTCTAAGTTCATTATAAAAGATTGGCCTAAGCTTTTTTTAAGCCCTTGTCAGATTTCATTATCAAGGTTATGCAGGTCCCACAAAAAAGCTGGGAGGTGTTCTTTTCTCCCCATTTTCTAAAAAAGCTGGTGTAAAATGAATTATTT